GTGGCGAGCAGGGCAATCGCCCGGGGCCTCGCTCTTGGAGGGGCCTCGCGCAACAACCAAGTAGAAAAAAGTTGATATTTAAAACTTTTTATTTTATCCTTGGCTATTAGTTATAACAATAAAATAAATTTAATTTATAGTACAGTATATATTAATATTAATAAGTGCCTACTATTTCAATTCACATACTTTGCACAAAGGACAAGGGCCTCACAAAGTTCTGCCGCCCAGGGCCTCGCAAAGATCTGCCGCTCAGAGCCTCGCAATGGATAAGGCTGCCGCTGGTCAGTGACAGGAGCACTCTCTGATGAATGAGTGGGGAACTGGTGGTATAAGGTCTGGATGGTCTGTGGTAAGACTTGAAGATTGTAGAAGAATGTTTGAGGTTCAGATTTAATGGGAAGTTCTAGTACATTCTGTTCTCTATTTAAGTGCTGCAATTAGTGTGAGTGAGTCAGTTGAGCTTGTTCAGAACATACTTCAGAATATCAAATAAACCTCGCTTGCGGTATGCAAGTGAGGTTTATTTGAAATGTCGTTGCATTCATGTGCAATACTGATTTCTTACGTCATTTTAAATTAACAAGTGCTGTATTTACTTCTATTGTATGTTGTAAGTGTTTTAATAAATCCGTTAACGTTTTTTGCCCATTTATTTAATTTTTGGATTGCAATCCTGTAACAATAGCAATCTAAAATGGATATTAGAAACATTTTTAGCATGAAAGGTATGTATCTATATTATTTTCATTTGAGTCGCAAATATTGAGTTGCAAAACAATCTAATTAAAGCAACCTAAAATCTTCAGGAAATGCAAAGACTGTCTTTTGTTTTAATAGTAATTTTGATGTCTTTATTATTGAAATTTTAAGAAAATTCATACAATACTAAATAAGGAAATAATAACAAGTGTACCACACTCCACTAATTTTAAATAACGATTGAAAATTGTAATTAGCTACTTTTGCAGCAGTTTTGCTTAATTAGATGGTTTTGAAACAGTTAATTTTGCAATTAGCTACTTCTGCTAGTTGCAAATAATAAAACAAATTTGTACAAAATATTAAAGGTTTTTAAGATTAAAGCTTCTAGTGTAGAGAGTCCATTCAAAAGCTTAAATTCTTAGTTCTTTTAATTTTTTTGGGAAGTGTAGTAGTAGTTATTTATTTTCTTTTAGGGAGACAGAAGAGGAAGCAACCAGTTAATAGTAGTAGCAAAAGTGATAGCAGCAGAGAAGAGAAATTGTAGCAGAATGTTGGTGCTTGCACAGCTGCACCTATTGCTGTTTTAAGTGCATCAAGTGAATCTTCGCTACCATCTGGTTCTGGTGCACAGGTTCAAACGTATTTTGATAATGATGTGGGTCACTGGCTTGAACAATTGTTTAGTATGACCTCATCTCGAAAAATGGAAGTTTTAAAAAACTGTTGGTCACCAACTCAAAGTTATGACATTGATAAGGATGCTGTGCAATTAAAAAGAAAATTCAAATACAGCTGGTTGGCAGATTAACAAGATCTCACTATGCCAAAATTGTAATGGATTATCTACAACAAGAAAATGTCAACGTTGCAACGTCAGAAATTAGGCTAATCAAGGATTTTTGGGCAATTAAGACAGCTGTTCACAAAAAGTGGTGGAAGGCAATAGCACCTGAATCAATTGCTGAAAAATGTGAACCAAAGTCTAGTACAGAAAACTTTCACTGCACACCCAAAGTTGAATTGACCATGTTTGACACTTAAATGTATAAGGTAATGCAGCTATGTTAATGTATATACATGCATTTATTTACTTTAGCTCATTTATTGTTAACTGCATTTACTTACTTTATTATTTTTATTTTATTTATATATTTATTTTTTCTTTTTGTTTGTCTATTTGTCTATTTATTTATTTATTTTCTCTTTTCTTTACTTCTTTCCCAACATTTGTTTTCAGACTTTTTTGCAATTGTCATCTGCACATAACATCAATGTAATTGCTTCTGTAATTTCTTGCCTGATTATGCTAGGCAGCATCAGGCTAAGTAATAACGATTATTTGATGATGATGATGATGTTTGACTACAAGAATTTTAGAATTACAAAAATAAAAGCTAATGAACAGTTTTTCATCATCTTTCAAATGACTATTTAGTTCAGTTTTCTTTCTTCCGAGGTAAAAACTACATTACATAAACTTGTGCAGATTTTTTTTTCCAGACACCAATTATATTTATTCTTAGAACTATTTAGAAATAAACACAATTTAAAATTTTCAAAAATAAAAATAAATTTTATAAGCATATGTTCATATGTTCAGAAGCAATGATTACTTAATAATAATCTTTTCACGAAATACATAAATTGTTTAGTTCTAACAGCTATATATTTTGTCTTCTGAAATTTTTTTTAACATTAAAAGCCTATTTGTAAGATTTGGCACACTACATAAAAGTCTTTTTATACTCTTTTAGGAGATGGCTGCTTTTGGAACTACATAATTATCATCTACAGCATAAAAACGTTTTTGAGAATTTATCATCACTCAAAATATAAAAATTAAGTTTATCTTTAAAATACCAAACTAATAAATATTTAAATTTTCCTTATACACAAAAAATTAATTATACAAAATTAACATAAATTTCCACCAAAAAATATCTAAAATTGGATTTATTTGGAATATTTAATTTAAGAATTAATAACAAGTTAGTTTTTGAGAAATTTGTCTTATAAACTTTTCAAACAATAAATATATAAAAACCTACCTTAAAAAATATATTATATAAGGCATCAATTAATCCGAAAAAGACTAATGATGATTTATAGACAGAATAGTCTTTAGGAGTTGTATCGGCAAGAGAATTTCCACCTTGAGGTAGAACGTGTCTAGCATGAGCCGTAATTAAAGTTCTTTTCAAAAATGCAATGCGTTGTTGTTGCCATTTACTAACTGGCTGAACTACCACCGACATAGTCATCCAATAAAATGATCCTTCGGCCTAAATAAACAAATTACATTTTAAATTTAACATGGCAAAAAATTTTTGGTGACTAATATTGTTTATAATTTGTTTAATAATATTAAATAAATATTAATAAAGATTTCTATAATTTTCAAATATTAATTTAGAGTAATATTTTGATCTACAAAATAATTTAATATTTCAATAAATTTAATTTCTAGTTTATTTATTTAATGTTAAAACCACAAAACCAATAAGAAACAATTTAAACTTCTATTGAATTTTCATAAAATAAAATTATAATAAAAGAATTTGATACAAACTACTAATTCATATTTACACAACATTTTAATTTGAAATTATATATATACTACTAAGTTTTCACATATTAAGTTTATTGGAAAAACCCACTGTGTCTAATTTTTATATTGCCTAATATAAAAATGATTAGTTTGTATAAACATGCATGAGCTATATACTAAATATACAGCGTGTACTGAAAGTTTCCTTATTTTGTTTATATATAGAACACGACCTGTATACAAAATGTAAATGAACAAAACCCATGCACAAACCATCATTCGTACACATTTACATTGTGTTTGTACTCAGAAATTTTAGAGTAGTTGGAAGTGTCCACCTTCTATCTGGAGGCAGAGATCCCATTTAATGACACACATTCCTACTTATGTATTGTAACATCCTTGGTGTAATATCTGCTATGTTTGCTGAAATGTTGCATTTCAGGTCTTTTAAGTTGTGGAAATTATTTACAAACTATTTGCAAGATATCTCCAAAAAAGAAATTTGATAAAGTCAAGGATATTGAGATAACCACAACTCCTTAGAAATGATGTGGTAACGAAAAAACTGATCCAGATTTCACAAAACCTTTCAACAAATTCTTACAAAGCAGGCTTACTTATTGGTACCTTGTTGGGTAATTTTTTCTTGAAAATATTCACACAATCATTTGTAAGATTTTGTGTCAAAATAAGCTTTCCAAAGGTTTAACTTTTTGTTTCATATTAAGAACCATACTCAACAATGGACACATTTCCCACTTTCCAATCAATGATACATGGTTACCCACATCATATGGATTTGTTTGTAACACTTTCAAGATCATCACAAATCTAAATCAGTACTGCTCTCTTATTACTTTTTCAACATAACAGGAAATAATTTTCAAAACATGAGTAAAGGAACTTGTAAGATAATTGTAAATAAAACAATTTTAATCTGTGTGACTGTGTTGCTGCAATCTTATACACCAGTATGATAAGTCCTATTAATAGAAATACACTGTTATGGTGATTGAAAGAATAACTTGTTTAAATTAAGGACATTGATGCATATTAATTAACAGTAAAACCCTGCTAACTTTGATGACATAGGAAAACAAAAGGCAGGTATATACAGTACAGTAATTTATTTTGACAGCTCTATATGGAAATTATGCTGAGCTTCAATAGATTATACTGCTGAATTTATCACTACAGGAAATGAGCTTAAAAAATTTCCTGACAATTATACAAAAGTAAAGCAAAGCGTGAGAAATATACTAATGGCAGTTACATACTAAGGTTTGTTGTTGGTGTGCCAGGCCTAAACTTGCATGGGCAAAAATAAAATATTGTTATTAAAGATCAAATGTTGAAAGAATTACTATATGTAATATAAAAATTCTATTTATCAGTAAAGTCCATATATGTACAATTCAATAATTCTTTGTAAAATAAAAAAAAATACTTTATCAAACCAAAACAAATATGTACAAAACCTTTCCAACAATTTGGGAACTTAAATCAAATTAGAACTATCTTAATTCAGTGTCCATACAACCAACAAGAAAGATAGGAATCAATTCTATTGAAAAAATACAATAAATCTTACAAATTTGACTATGTATCACCAAAACTCTGTTACTGGACCTGGAACTGGGAAACCTTTTGCTTACCACTCGATTCTTAGCATCACTTCATTTGAATGTAAACCTCACCTTGTCTGAGTCGTCTCTTTTTTATGCAGCAGGTGTGGTGACATTACAATGTATCTGCCCACTCGCTCTATTTACATACTTACACGGTAACATTTTATTTAATTCTAGTAGTTGGTTTTTTTTTACTTATGTAATCCTCCTCACAATTTTATAATACTTTTATTTTGTGTTGTCCAGTAACAATTTGGAGGTGGGAGATCATTCTTTTAACTTCCTGCGGAAGTTTTCCACCCTAAAGATGTCATTTTGGATGATAACGTAATTTTTCCAAACGCGGTCTTTGTGAGTGAGTTTTAACATTTAGAATTTTGTCCACAGAGGTGCAGTAGTCTATCCTTAATGAAATAAAATGCCCCAAAATAAATAGAACAACAAACTAAAAATAACCCTTAAACAAAATAGAACGGTTCAGAATTGACTCCTTACACAGTATACAGCCATGTACAGTATTTACTAACTTACTGACTAGAATAATATAATGCACAGTATCACAAAGACTTATGAATTTCAAAAACACTCATTAATTGGGCTGCAATTTGAAAAACTTGTAGTCCTATAAATTCCCACTGTCACTCGTGTATCCATCTATACATTTTTCCTTAATCTTGAGAACAAAGTTAGATAGATGAAAGATAAGACCAGACATGGAAACCTTAGAGGTAGGAGATATTGATTAACTATTGATATACAAGAACTTCTGATGAAAACCAAAAGTCATGTTATTTCAATTTAAAAATTTTCCTCTGAAAAGTGTTAGATAGAATACTGGCATGATTATTATTAAAGGAAAAGTATGATGTACATAGTAGGGACAAGTAGGGACAAGCCACTACTAATTTTGAGATGGAGAGAATATATTTTAAATTAAATAAATTAAAAATTGCAGTCTGGCATTGTGACGATGTCACAATAAATAACTGATTGTTATAATTATTCTTACTCGTTAATTGTAATTTTTTGATTGTCAAGAAATTTTAAATTACTGTACAATTTTTCAAAAAAATTTGTCTGAGTTAGCAGAGGTTTATTGTAATATTCCAATAAAAATATATTATTAAAATCATAAAACTGTATTTTATAAGTCAAAATATTATATTATTTATAAAATATATTACAGTAAATATTTGCTTATCAAATCCATATAATAGACCCATTAGTCATTTTACATTTTTTCCATATATGATGAGGATTATTGTATCAACAAGAAACACAGTTTCCTAAAATAGAGAAACTATTGATATAATAATTGTGTAGCAATGTTGGAGATCCTTTTAGCATATTAGAAAAATGGGGGGCGTGTCTAGCCTGCGGAGGTGTTGGTGACTTTTTTGCTGAGCTGTTGTGGCGACGTTAGACATGGATTTTTTACAACAGAATATTAAGTGTAGAACTGAAATAAGTATTTTAAATGTTTCATTAATTCGAATAATAATTTTTATTTTACTAATGATTGCTGGCATTGAGTTAAATCCCGGACCTTTTCCTCGATCTCCTCCAATATCAAGTCAAGCAGTTATGCAAAAAAGGGGACGAGGGAGACCACGTAAAGAGCATACAAGAGATATAGAAGAAAATACTCAGACAAGCGATATGTCAGGAGAGGAATACGTAATTGAGGAACATTCTAAGAATAATACTGATATCTCGAGGTATGCTACAATTAAAGACTTTTTTGAACCGGAAGAAGATCTACTAACAAAGACTACTGAACCTGAATACTCACTTAAATCGATCTATGAATTAATTCAAGACAAATTTGATAGTCTGAACTTCGAAATCCGTTCCATGAAAGCTGAAATCAACAAAATAAACGAAGAAAATTTAAAGCTCAAGGAAGAATTGAAAGAAATGTGTAAAAAAATGCGTTTATTAGAAGAAAGAACAGATACGTACAGCAAGTTAAAAGGTATGGTGGATTTTGAAATAGATAAAATGTTAAACGAGAGAACTAAGAAAAATCTAATTATATTTAATTTTCCATTCAAAACCTCGGAGTATGTAGAAGAGTTTAAAAAANAATAAATAAAAAAATAAAAAAAAAAAAATATTAGAAAAATGAATAATATATAAAATTTCCTTTCAAAATAATGTCACAAATACTATAGGCTGCCATGCAGGAACAATATCTACAATGCTTGTTATTAGAGAAGCAGATCATATCTTTTTACATACCAAACAAAATACTGAATAAAAGTTTATTAGAATTCTGTATAGAATCCCTGTGGGCTTTAATGTACAATTACTGCAACCCCATTTAATCAGTGCAGTTTAAAATAGATATCATTTCTCAACAATACCTATTTTAACATAAAACCAATGTACCAGGATCCAGGGTTCTGAGTACATGCCATCTTAAGTTTTTGTAAATATAACTAAAATAATATTAGTAGAATCAGATTGTAAGCAGGTTAAATGTATTAAAGTCCAAATATATAATGATTTTAATTCAAGGTCTAAATCTAATGTAAAAACTGCAGTCTTAAGAGAAAATAAAGAGAAGTTTTTTGGTTTATCTGCCAATAATTCAATCATTAAAAATTAAATATTTACTTGCTGTTTAGAAGAAAATTAATTTTAAAAACATACCTCAAAAGAATTCTCTATCCACTTATCAACTGGAGTTTCTAGAAAGTTAGAAATATTCTTCTCTTCTCTTGCAACACAACGTGTTCTAAATAAAAAGAGCCAACCATACATTTGTTGTATATATATTTAGAAATAAGAATATTGTATATAAGGTTCTCAAAATGGAAAATTTAATGAGACTTGGTACTGTATGTTAATTAATTAATTAATAAAAACAGTGTATTTATATTTGCATATGTCCAAGGAAGCTATTCTTGGACATATGCAAATACAAATACACTGTTACATTCAGCTGCATCTATTTTCTGAATCTATTTTCACACAATTTAGGCCATCCTCAACATAAAAAATCAAATGGAATAGAATATATTTTTTTAAATTCAATCTTGGAATGTTAAAATGTTACAAATCATAACATTCAAATAAATTCAAACTTATTTTAAATAAAGAAAAAAGTCAAATTTAAAACTGTACAATCTTAAAAAAATAATAATAAATATAAATTAAATATCTTAGTTCATTGTAATCATGCTTTCGATTCATAAATAAATTTTGAATGAAGAGTAAACTACTTATATAAATTTTAAAATTGACATGGATGATTCATACTCTAACATAGTGAGAAAATTAACCAAATCTAGACTTTATTAATTCACAAAAAAGTGAGAAGTAGCTATTGAATAATATTAAAATCCACACTTGATCCAAAATAGTTATCTACAGCTGCTCTAAAAACCAGAGGAATGTTAGATTTAAATGGATCAAAATGGAATTTTTCCCTCAATACTTACAGCTGCTTAATGGCCATTAAGACTGACATGGGGTTAGATTCTTATTCGTTTCAAATTAATAATGAAGTGTGTTTGTTGATTCTTTTTTATGGCTCAAATAAAAGAAAAAAATAAATAAATGTTGCAAGAAAAAGTTGTTTAAAACAAAATTTTTTTGTGAGCACTATGATGGCCTTTCTTTATTGCTAGACTTATTACACGATCACTGGATGGTGTAATAAATCTAATAAGTGTAATAGGTCAGCCTTAGAAAATCACTTTATTTTTCCAAAAAGAATGCATTTCGGACCTTAAGTCCCTCATCAGCTTTTTTATAATATAAGTATATTTTAGGAATAAAACATGCAAGTTAGATTATGTTGACAGTAAAAATTTAAGGTTGTAATTCAACTTACATATTTATGAAATTGATACTACCACATTTACGAAATGTACAATAAAATCACGATGTTTAGTAAAATACTGATGACAAATCATTGATTACAGATCAAAGTTCCAGGCATTTGCTACAATATTAACAAGATGTTAATGATTTTAAAATACCACAAATAACATAAATGGAAATGTTATAAAATTTACTTTAAATGTGCTGATTTGATGCTTAGAGCAGTATAGTTAAAAAAAAAAGCAGTAAAACAAACAGTATACATAATAAAAGACACTGTTAAAACAATAAAAATAATCCGACAGATCTACTAAACAAAAAATTAAAAAACTACAAACTAGAAAAACAAAACCTAATAAGCCAAACAGAAAAACATTTTATTTTAAAAAGTGAAAACAGAATACCGAAGTTTTCATACAGAGTTAAAACACAAAGATCCAATCTTGTATAGACCTCTGAAAAAAAAATACATCTTTTATAATTTAAAGCTTCTCTTGAAGGAAAAACTAAACACCCTAGAAAAATCACATTACAGCATACAGAGTAATGGCTGTTTTATATAAAAATTAAAAACTGTAAAGTTCAAACCAACTTATATGATAGCTTCCTTAGACATATGCAGTATGTATCTGTCCATTAAAGGAAACAGGATTTTAGAAACACTGAAAACCCAAAACTGTCAACAATGAATTACAGATATGGTATCTCTAGTATTAGAGAATAAAAGATTCTATAGGTAAAATGATGGTATCCCTATTGGTTCAATAATAGATTCAATTCTTGCAGAATTAAGTATGTCCAATATAGATCAAAAGGTTGTTAACATCAATGGAATAATAGAACTGTATTGTTACGTTGATGAGTGTTTTGTAGTATATGATGACATTATTATACAGGCTGATCAAATCTGGAACAAGTGAATCAAATAGATATAGATATTAAATTTGATCTAGAATCTGAAAACAACTATCAATTACCATTCTTAGACATTTTAGTTACTAGACTTAAAGACAAAACAATTTTTAAAAAATATAAAAAATATACTATTGACAATGTTATACATTTTACATCAGTTATCCAGTTATATAAAGAAGAATATTTTTTACATGTACATAGATAAAATTACACAATGAACTACGAATGAAATAGATAAATCCACTGAAATTCAAGACATTATGAAAATGTACTTAATGAATGGTTATAGCATGTGCATGATTAGTAACTGGATTATTGATAGAAAAGAAAATACACACAAACAATCAATTGACAACACAACTTTAATTTTTTTAAAACTCATTATGAAATGAATATTTTTGAAAGAATAAATTTAAAAAATAAATTAAATAAATATGGTATAATTTTGGTACCTGAACAAAATAACAATTTAAATAGAAAAATAAATGCACATAACAGCAAGGCTAACATATGGGACCGAAGAAACATTATTTATAAATTAGAATATAGCTGTACCATACCTAGATTTTACATAGGGGAAACTGGTAAGGAATTAAAGGTTTGTTTCAAAGAACATATATCCACCATTAAGTACAATAATAACAACTTGGCTGTAGCAATCCACTTTAACAAAGAAGGTTGTTAAATAATAAGGGACACTGTTAGAATAGTTAAAAAAAAATCAAATACATATAAAAGAAGCTGGTATGAGCATTTAGAAATAATAAAAAACAAAGAAAAAATCATGAATAATAATTAGGCCCAAAAATTACATGAATTGTGGTATGTATATTTGACAAAAGGGGGTGAGGGGAGTGTATAAATAAAAAGAAATTGAAATACAACCTGAAACTTTTACTGTCAACATAATCTAACTTGCATGTTTTATTCATAAAATATAGTTATATTATAAAAAGCTGATGAAGGACTTAAGTCAAAATGCATTCTTTTTGGAAAAATAAAGTGATTTTCTAAGGCTGACCTATTACACTTATTACACCATCCAGTGATGGTGTAATAAGTCTAGCAATAAAGAAAGGCCAACATAATGCTCACAAGTATATACCAAGACTAGACAAGAAGCACATCATGGTAAAACAAATAAGTTAATTTAAAATTGCATGACAAAAAATATTAAGATAATTTAGATAAACTGACAAAATTCTCATATAGATTACTTTATTAGACTACAAAGTATTTAACATTAAAATATACTTAATGATACTATATATAAAGTCAATTCTACTCTTAAAAAACTTACGTGTTTATTACATAAAGTGCCATATGAATAATATATGGAATTAGGTGCATGTTACTTTGAGGTCCACCTCCTCCACTATCTTCACTAAATGAACGCTCAGTTGAAAACCGATGCAGAAGTAACTTCAAGTCATGTACAGTTGATATGTATCCAACGTCTCTATGGCCAGTGCATTCTTGTAGATAAGTGTTGTGTCTATATATAAGACATTGTTTTAGTAACTGAAATATATAAATTATAATTTATCAAAATAACTATTCTTTACCTTGCTAAGCAACTAGCAAAAGCAGATTCTGGAACTTGTGGACCCCATAAAGGCAACAAGCCATTACAACGTGTATTGGCATTCTGTAAAGCTGCACTATCCCATTCATCTCTTCCTCGAGCATGCCTAAATAAATTTCTAGGTTAAGCCAAATTTGTGCACCATAAAAATATTAAGATATGTGTTAAAAATAAAATTGTTGTTACCTTACAGCTGCCATATGACAATCAACATGTACAATATTGAAATGTGTTACAGTACAATAGCCAGGAGTCTTTCTTTGTCTGATTTCATAATCATCAACATTACAGCGCTTAGTATAAGTATATATACCCAATACTTTTGTCGGCTGAAACTTATAACCTTCACGGCAAATAATGCAAACTAAACCTGTTTCTTCTTGTAATTCCTCAACATGTTTTAATAATGAACTTTTTGCTGTAACCTATAAAAAAACCAAATATATAGATTAAGATTTACAATAATAAAACTTTAAAGTCAAATATCAGATTTAATTTAAACTGAATCCAACCATAACAAATAAAACATACTCAAATTTTTATTCTAAATTTTGTTATTCTAAAACAAATGAATAAATATAGTTAACTATGTTAAATAATAAAAGAATAATTTTAAAATTTAATTTCCAGCATTTTGGAAATTTCCTTGTTCAAAAAAAGGAGAAAATTATCACAGTTAATTTTAAATGAAATAAAAGAACTGATTAAAATTATGATTATTTTGAATAATATTTAATCAAAATTCTAACTTTTAACTTGATTTAAAACATGAAAAAACTCTAAAAAATTATTTTTAACTTCATTTGCATTTCATTTTAATTTCAGGAATAAAGTTTTCAAAATTTTACTTGATTTTGGAAAACACTAAATAATAACTGATAAATTAAACAAATTTATAATAATTTACCTGTCCTTTTTCATTTGTTCTCATACCCAATGCTCCTAATTGCTTCTCCCTCATGGCCATAGCAAGGCGTTTCTTTTCATCTCTTGTCTGTTTTCTAACTTCTTCTATCTTTTCAGCTACACTAGGATTTTCTTTAATAGCTTCCATTAAGTTTTCAGCTAAGGAACCAACACATTCATCACTAGAAACTTGTTCCAACCTTAAATGAAATAATCATTTATTTAATAATCTATTATTATTTATTCATACTGAATACATAATAAATATGTTAATTAAGTATTGTATACCTGTGTATAACAGGAATGCAAGTAGCACTCACAGCTAACTGAGTTGTAGCATGACCGTGACTGAGCCCAGTAAGAAAACGAAGAACATATTTTAAGGCTGGTTTAGATGTAAATTCTCTCCAATCTTCAGAAGCTAATAACAATGCCCCTCTAAAAGTAAAAGAAACATTTTGAAAAAGTGCACTTAAAATGCAATAATTATGTGCTTTAAGCATGATTTAAATCAAGGATTAATTTATTTCATATAAAATTCAGTATTTCTTGAATAAATGTGGGATTTAGACGAGTAACATTCCTAAACCATTAAGAAAATAAATTTACAAGGGGTTACGGGAAGACAAGGAGAACGAGAGAGAGAGAGAGACGAGGAAGGGGAGAAATGAAAAATGAAAGAAGATGACAATTGGTGATGGTGTGAAAGGGACAAAAAATGTCACGAAGGCCAGAACATTATTGTTTTATCAAGACAGTTACGAACACTGGAAGATTATTGTCATATCTAGTTCTATATTTCTATCACTATTCCTACAAATTTTGGAGGCTCAGCTGGGATATTGAGAGAAATTCATACAAGAACTTTCAGAAGGGCAATAATGGAATCCAGACAAGCTGGCAGAGTTAGTGACACTACAGTAAACGACAAAGAACTAAGACTGACTGTTGTATCTAAGGACAATACAATGATGGATGTGAAACACCTTAAGTGTGCTGATTTGAAAATCAAACTAGGACGACAAAAATTGAAAACCACAGGTAGCAAGAGAGAGTTGGTGCAAAGATTGGAGGTGACACTTTTGATTGAGAATGCCAGAGACAATGATGTGCAAAGTGATGATGATGCTGACAAAAGTGAGGATGAAGATAGTAATATTATGCAATATAAAAGTGAGTACTCTAAGTCAATGTTTACCTTTAGAAATGTTGATGAATCCCTTGAAACATTCAGTGGTGACAATGGGAAGAATGTTGCTAAGTGGAAATGTGTAACTAGAACGGCATGCAGAAGATAGTTTACGCAAAACAACTACTCAGAGGTTCAGCAAGAATGTATGTAAACTATGAACAGTGTACTAAATCATGGAGAGCATTAAAAGAAGCTCTTTACACTGAATTTTCTCCAAACTGAACAGCAGAAATTGCTTTAAAATCATTTTCAAATTTGAATTTTGATAAAGTTTTCTGAATTATTTTAAATACATCAGAAAACAATATTGCTTACTGACTATTAAGATAATAACCAAAACAAACAAACATGTCAATCAACAAATAAAATTGTATCACTCTACATATAATTTTATAGCTAAAATATTAAGTAAACTTTATTATGTAAATAGAAGAGTTATATAAAACTGATAATACACAGTAAACATTAATCAAAAGCTTAAAATAATTATAGCAAAAGATCAAAATACAATTTCTATTAAATTTAACAGTCTGTAAAATTATGTGTTTTGATCAAAATACTAATGCTAAATGATAAGATATTTATTTCAAAATAATTTTCAGACTGTCCATTCTCAAGGTTTAATATACATGTGTGCAAAGCTTAAGGATGGGTAACATTTGTACATGAATAGAGAGAGCCAAGAGAATTGTAGACAAATGCAGACAATGTCGAGTAATATGGCAAGAACTGTTTCTTGCCATATTACTTGACATCTAACACAGGGTGATAACACAAGAATTTGTAGAATTTTACAAATCAAAGCAATAAAAGCAAGTCTTGGTGAAGAAGATACATACAGCAATTGGAAATTGGAGAATGGATGGAAAGTGTTTATCAATGACCAGGCTGAGATACTTCTCAGTATGGAATATGTCCATCTCAAATTGCAATATAATACTTGATGTTATAGTAGGCTTGTCACAATCTGGTTCAATGACTTTTCCTAACACTGCTAGCAATTGTGTTCATCCTTAAGTTTCAGATGTGTATTATTATTATTTTAAAAAATCCATTAATTTGTCTTTTTAAATATGCTTGCCTTAGAATGCATGTAATCTAAGATTTATCGCAATAAAAAAAAAAAAAGCTTTCAAACATTTTAATTTAAAAGTAGCTTGTTATGAAGGAAGTTACACATTTTATTTTTATTTTAAGATGTGATTATATTAAGAAAGATGAATTCAATAATAAATTTAAAATGGGAATATTAATAGAAAAATTAGTGTATAACTTACTTAATAATTGGTGCATGGAGAGTTATGTATTCCATGGCATCTTGTAAAATTCCTCTTTTTACAATTAGATCCTTCAGCTGATTTCCATTCAAATTGCGTTCAATTCCAGCAGTCATCACACAAAAACATTCTAACTGCAAGTCATCATCTGGTGTATGCTCAAAATCAAACTTATTAAAATTAAGATATGGTTTAAAGTGATTTATTAGTGTTTCCATTTTTTCCTGAAATAATAAATTTAAAGTAATTTTATTAATAAGTCAATAAACTGCTCACTAATAAAATTGTTAAAATTTATTTAATCAGATTTATTGATATTTCCAAAAAGTCTAGAACAGGAGTGTCCAACCCGCGGCCCGCGGGCCGCATGTGGCCCAAGGCAAGTTCCAATGCGGCCCAATAAACGTGTAAACAAAACCGACAAATGTTTTAATTTTTTTATTATTTATTTATTTCAACGGCATAAACTCAAAAAAAGTTTCACAAAGCCATAAACCTTTATTCATACTTTATTTTTGAGTGAAAAGAAAATATTTTCAAATACTTGGAGATGTGTGAATGCGGAAGGATTACTAAATAAAGCTGGAGTTGTGACTCAAAGGATTAAAGACCCAAATTTGGGGAAAGGAAGGAAAAATGAGAAAGGACAAAAGATGTAGTAATGAGAAACGTTAAATAGATCTTCTGTTAAGCAAATATGGAGCCGTAATTTTTCAACCTTTTTCACTTCTTTATCTTTTGCCCTTTGCCTCTTTTTCCCCGCACTTGGGTCTATAATCCTTTGATTCATAACTCCAGCTTTATTTAGTATTCCTTCCAACGTTGCAAGATTTGGCTACATTGGGCCAAATGTGGCTACATTTTTTTTGCTTGACGTAAAAAATATCATTTGGCGCTTTGGCTACTTTTTTCGGCTACATATTATTTATAATTATATTAATTGAATAAAAATGCACTTTAAAATGGTGTTTCATCGCTTTTTATTAATTAGAGACCCAAATAAAACAAATATTTGTGTTTTTCAAATAAATTTTCTTTAGTCTCTTTTATAATAAATGAATTTATCTATTTCTAAGTAAAAATTGAAAGTGTCTGTAGAAGTAATTTTTTAAAATATCCTTTTTTCTTGATAAAGTTTTAATACTTATTATTATAATCTAGACATGTTAATTTTTAAATATACTTGTATATTGGGCCACAAGTATATATAATATATACTTGTGGCCCAAAACTCCTTGACTTCTTCCAATGCGGCCCAGAAAAACAAAAAGGTTGGACACCCCTGGTCTAGAAGAACATTTTTTTTCCAGACAAGAAAAATAATACTTCAAATAAGTTCAAGAATTTATCCATTTATTACAAATAAATATTTTTCAAGACAATTTAATATTACTGATCAACATCAAAGATTGAACATATTAGCAAAGAACACCTGACTTAACTGATATTCAGTTGATGGTGAAATGTTAATTGTTTTGAAAAAGTTCAGTTGTAATAAATGTCTAACTCCTAAACTTTATTTGTGAGGGTCAGGGGCCGTCAAAAGTTAGTTAACGTTAAGTTAGGGTAGGTTCTGCCACCAGGTGTATTTTGTCGGACACACTGCCAATTTTGACACAAACAGATAGTTAAGGCCTAAGGGTAAGAGTCACTCCGAAGTCCAGGAAAGAGCCTCTCAGGAGGTAAATGCAAAGTCAAATACAAATAACAAGAGTTTATTATCGAAAATTAAGTTCTGGATAACATTCTTAAAATCTGATTCAAGAAATCTGCCTATTTCTATCTATAAAATGAGGGGCTGCCTAACAGGGCGGTATCCAAACTACAACATACCAGGAAAAAGAGAGCAGTCTTCTCTCATAGGGCTGGTCAGTCTTTTGATCTAGTACCTTCTTCCCTTTTGCTTGGTCCTTCACTAGGTCCTTCGCTGATGTCTGCTGGTAAATGGTGTTCACTTCTAATCAAAATTTCCTTGCAATTATGGCAGGACGGGTCCACTTTTGTCTACTGTTGATGTCCGCTGACGTTTTCCGCCATTGATGCCTTCCTTGTATGGAATAGTTTGGTTGGGAGTCTGGTGAGGCTGGTGCTTTCTACCATTGTCTACCGAGGAGCTCCCTGATGCCTGGATTTGGGCCTCTTTTATACACCTTTCAGCACAGGAGAGTCATATGATTTACTATTATTATTGGTTCATCTTTTGAGCTGAGTCATTACCGTAGCAAAACCGTTTTAAACCTTCCTTGACTTTAGATGGTGATAATGCCGAACTCCATGGACGTCATCACTGATAGTTCCCATCATTATTCATCAATTGTTTTGGTTACTGTTAAGCTTCATACTTCTAATGCCTTGGAATGGTGTTCAATTGCCGCTATGATCAGCAGGGAGAGGAAAAACGGGAAGTGGAGTTTTTCCCACTTCCTTTAAGTTTTATTCTTTTACAAATTAATTTAATTACTTAATTTCCCTCTCATATTTTCCTCACATGTTGTGAGATTTATTTCTCTGTTTAATAAACTTAGAATGATTTAGAGAAACGAATTAGAATACAAAGTTGATATTATTAGAAATTTCTACAGGGACGTCCCTAAAATTGGAAAAATAGGCAAATTTCCTCTTACAACTTTGGTCAATATGTAAACAATTTTGGTATCTTCAAGATATGGGTTCAAAGAAAAAGAAGAGGATATAAATTATACGTAGAGCTTAAAATACAATAAAATTTCTAATTAATTAATTAAAGCAAATGCATTATTAGCAAAAGATTAGAATAAAGTGATTAAACTAAAATCATTACAGATAATTTAAATGACAATACACAAATATATATATATATATACATACAATCAATAACAACAATTTTTGGTGGGGGGGAAATGGTGGTCTTCATAACAATATTGTGTTTCTTATGATGCCAGGAAGTTAATGATGGAGTTGTCAGTGTAGCGTCAAACTATTTTATATTTGTTATAAAAGGCAATTATATTTCTTATATTATTAATTATGAAAAATGTACTATAATTAAATTTTTATATGTATGCATGTATTATGTATATGCATAATTATGTAAATACATAAAATTATATTTTTATATTTTATTTTTGCAGAATAAAAATATAGAACTATGTTAATATAAAATATAATATAAGTATTATAAAATTGTTTGAATTGTTTGTTATATATATGATAAAATTTTGTTAGTAAAGTAACAAGTTACTGAATGTAATAATAATGGAATCATTTCACATTTACATATACAGGAGGATGCAAAAGTAGGTATACAGAGAATCTGAGAAATACAAATGTTTGGTGTTCATTATTATTATTTTTATTATCTTTTATTAGTTCGTATTCCTTATTTGTGATTTAATTTGTATATAAAAATAAATGTTTTTTCTTCTTATTTTCTCCCTGTATTTTTTCCATAACAATAACTGTACACCTACTTTTGCATCCCCATATAATAAAATTTAAGTTACAAAAATAACAACACTTTAAAAGGTATTTGTTAAATGTTGTTATAAGTTATAGTATAAATGATCAAAAAATATGTGACAAACAATATCTCATTATTAGCCAGCTGTTGTTATATTACATTAGTCAAGATATACAGTCAAAACTGGTACAACATTAAGATAGAGTTGAAAATCTTTCTAATTATTCTATTCTTTTATTTTTTTTTCTATTTTTATTATTTATTTATTCTCGTTTTTCAAATTTATAACTGTTAAGATAGATTAATTATTATATTCTAAGAAGATTTTAATATCGGGTGCCATAAAATTTATCTCCAATTTTGATGACATTCTTTAAAAAAGCAATTGAAAATTTCACATTGACTTATTTCCATTGAAATTTAAAAATAAAATATATCTTCATCTTTGACTATCTTTCATATCTGGTCCCAGACTTATCTTTTATAATTCATATAGACATTCTCAGAAAAAGATTGAAGACACCTGAGTTAGATAATTATTTTCAAAGCAAAATGAATTTCATGGATCTTTTTAAACCCAATCACGGACTCCAAAGCAGTAAATGGATTCCAAGTGAAGACTTCGTAATAAAACTATTTTATTTTATTGGTATTTTAGTTTACATTATAGAGATTCTCACATTTTTGTGAAATATGTTTTCTCATAATATCCTGTAAAATTGTTTTACATTTAATCTTTTCTTTACAAATTTCCAAGCAAAAATTGACTACTGTTTTCTTATTTTGGCTTCTACCTCTAATGGTCTAAAAGACAAAGTTATGAGCAAATTTCTAATTATTATTAAACAAACTATGAATTTACCTTTTACTAACTCTCCCAATATCACACACTCTCATTTAGGTCTTCTGTGTTTACAAAACAGAGTTGTATATTTCAACAGAGTACTTATAAATTTTTTTCAATGGTCTTGTTCTTTCCTCTTATTTTTACACACACATGCAAAATTTTAATTCTTGTTTTTATCCTCCTTTTTTTAGACTTTTAATATTCCAGAGAACTTTCTTTTACAGATTTACCAACTCCATCAAAAACATAGAGGACCTACTACATCTTGACTACTGTAAATATAGACAAAATTGTAAGAAAGCTCTAAATATATACAGGGTTGTCAATGTAAATCTGGAATTTCTTCATGAGCAATCTTAGGCAGTATTGGAGATAAGACTGTTGATGAAAGTATATGCATTCATCAGGTCATTCAAGAATAAACACCAAACAGTCCACAACTGAGACCTGCTCAGGCATATTGTGAGAATATGACTGAAGAACAGCTGTATTGAAATCACTTCATGCTAGAAAATCACCATCACAAATCATGGTATGGTGTGGCTACAAGAACATGCAAATTTACAAAATAGCCAAGAAGTTCAGGGAGTCTGACAACAAGGAGAATGTGACTCCAGGGAAGGCAACTCAGAGTAAGTGTTCTGATTGCAAGAGAAGTGCAGAATTCATAGCCAAATTGATGATGATCAATCAGGATGGTGTGCAGAGCAAGAGTGACCTTGCAAAAGAAATGAGCACGGCAATGCTCAACAATCAATCTGACAGGATAGGAGTATCTGCAATACTCCTATCCTGTCAGACTACCAGTCTTTTGTCCTCAGGAATTGCCAGCTCTTGACTGAGAACAAAAAACAACAAAAAACTGAAAGCTTAGGCTATGCCAAACATCATCACTGGTCCCCTAACTTGTGGCCCATGTCCAGTCCTGACTGCAATCTCCTTGACTACCATGTGTGTGGCATGGCTGAGGCAAAGAGTAAATGTAAAGCTTTACAATACTAAGAGTGCTCTAAAGGCTTTCTTCATGGAAGTGATGATAAACATGAACAAGGAGCAAATCAAGTGAACCTGCAGCCATTTCGGGTCAAGACGGGAAGGTTTTGAAAGCTGACTGAGGCTACACAAAACAATTTCATTCTGTTTGTTGTGTACTATTTTTGTACCAATTTTTGGAAGAATATACTGATTTTTCCCTCTATTTTGAATTGTTTTTCATTACATGGCAATTTTTCCAGATTTATCTTGATGACCTTGTATATTATACCGTATTAGCCTGAATATAACGCGATATTTTTCGACCATTTATTTTCCGTTAAAAAATCGACTCGTGCTAAATTCGGAGTTTAAGTAATGGAATGTAATATAAACAAGGACATTTTCCTACAGAGGTTGCCTGTGTTATTAGCTATACAGTAGAGCGTTGTTTATCCGAAACGTCTGTTATCCGAAAGCATTCCAGTCGGCAAATTTAAATTTTCGCTAGTGCTGTGGCACTGCAATCTTCGGCTATTTCTTGGGTTAATCAAATATTTTACGTTTTTGATACTAAATTAACATCTGAAGTATAATTTTTTATTGTTTTTATATTTTTCAATATATTTATTTTGTTTGTACAAAATAAAAAAATAATTTTTAACGATACAATAGTATTCGTTAGGCTTAACATCGATGAAAATTCAACGCGAAGCGACACGCAACGGAGAAAAATTTCAACACGGGATAAATTAATATATTTTTTCGTACATGATTCGTTATCCGAAAAATAAGTTATCTGAACCACCCCAGTCCCCAATTGATTCGGATAAACGACGCTCTACTGTAATTACATAAATAAATGCTTATCTGATTGAATTTTACTTTCTTTGAATTCTTTTATGAGTATTATTTTTTTTCCTAAATATCTTTATGAAAATTTTGGAGTTGCGTTAAATTTGGGGTTGCGTTATATTCGGGCTAATATGGTAATTTGTTTTTCTATTACTGTTGTGTTGTTATATTTTGGCTTTTACTTCTGTTTTCTTTTGGGACAATTCTATTGTTAGTTAGGGAGGATCATTTTGCCTAACCAGCATTAACTTGCAAAAAATTTCAAAATATTTGATAACTTTACCTGATTTCCTAGTGTTAAGAATGGAATAACTCTCATCAATAACTGTAATAAAACAGTATTATTTCTAATAGGTGGTGATGAAACTGCTCTTAATAAGAAGTTAACATCATCTTTGTCCCCACTTTTACAGAAATTTGCATATTTTTCAGGTGATTGACTAGCAGCTTCAACTAGTACTGTTTCCATAATCTGTAGTAGTTGTTCAGTGAGTGTGGGACCACTTGCAGAACCTTGTACAAGCTCAGGAATATCTGATGTTAAAGTTAGTCTTAATGTACTTAGCATTACTTTGATTGTCCCCATTTGCGGTTCTATTAATCTTTGACGGTTACTTTTCACCTAATAATATAAGTTAAGGTATAATTGTTAATCACAATTATTTCTACAATAACTGTAATTACAAAATTTAAATATACTAACTTTGAAACAAAATACAAATAATTTCAGTAGAACAGTAAGTAATGGACGTCCTCTCGTGAGATCATTAATAGCAGCTAGTCTTTCCAACATTACTTCCAAACCACCACAATGACTCATTTCATTAGCTAATTTATACACTTCTTCATTATCTACTTCTTCATTGTCTTTATTGTCTAGTGTTTCAATAAATTCTTCAGTAGCATCACCTAACAGACCTCGCATTCTGTATACAACTCTCATTGCTTCAGATTCATTATTTTCTGCACACCAAACCTATCAAAAGATAGTGGTAAACAATCATATATCAAAATTTCAAATAGAAAAAAATAAATCAGAAAAGAAATAAAACACAAGAAACAAACTTACTTTTCTATATACATCCTTTACAGGAAGGTCAAGACTTATAATTTTATTATTCACTAATAATTCCATTCCATTATCATCTTCAAGCAGAGCAACTAATTCACAATCTTGACATATTTTATTTTTAATGTCTCTCATTACAGGGCCCATACCAGGCTCATTTGAACTATAGGGATTACCTAACATTCGACCTTGTAGAAAATCTTCTTGCTGAGGATCTTTTTCTAGAGTTATGAAGAATTCTCCTGAATCACTTTCTTCCTGAAGTTTAATAATTATCATCACTCAATTAAGTAAAAAGTCACAATTGCTTTAAAAAATTTCATTCTTGTTTCTAATATTAAATACTTACAGGATAAATCACTGAACATAATCTTTCAAATATAAAAACTGGGGTTCGAAGATCATCTAATCCATATTTTTTCACGGTCTCAACACACACAGCCATAAACGCTTTTGTTTCAGATTCGGTTCCTATTATTCAAAAAAATATATTTAAAACATTACATTACAGAATGTATACATGAATTACATTTAATAAAGAATTGTAAGTCACAAAAGTTTCCCATTAAATTACTAGTAGTGGATTTTCTGTTAATGTTAGATTTATCATGCATGTTTGAATGGTTGTTATAGAAATATCTCATCTGATTTTTTCAATATCTCACAGAACACACATCTCCAAATACAACAGTCATCTCAATATGGATAACAACAATTAATTTTCCTTATAAACGCACAAATTTGCTTTGTTCAATTTGTTATCCTCTAGAGCAGTGGTGTGCAAACTATTTTCACTTCCGACCCCCATTTTGCGAAAAATTTTGTCACAATCCCTGGATAGACAGTAGACATTTTTTAAATCATCAACATAGTTAAAGTGAAATTCTTTCTGGAATTTGTGGTTATGTTTATGCCTTATTAGAGATATGAATAACACACAGTTTTACTAGACCTTGATATTTGTTGAAGAAAAGTCTTATATTTTTTATTGTCAAATAAATTTCTTTGAATTTGGCGACCCTAAAAAATTTTCTAGCAGGGTTGAGTACATACTCTAGAGTAGTGGTGGACAGTCACTACTCTAGAGTAGCATTTTCCAATCTGGATTACTGTCCATGTACCCAGGAGATGTGAAAAAAACTCTAATAGATGCCAAATGTTAAATCAGTAATTCTTCAATTTTAATTACAGTACCTTGCCAAATTATTAGACCATGCAAAAAATATTGATGATTTGTTAGTTTTTAATGTAATAATTCAATAAAAATGCAATTGTTGATAGGATTATTTAAAATACCGTATTAGCCCGAATATAACGCAATATTTTTCGACCATTTATTTTCCGTTAAAAAATCGACTCGCGCTAAATTCGGGGTTTAAGTAATGGAATGTAATATAAACAAGGACATTTTCCTACAGAGGTTGCCTGTGTTATACAGTAGCCTAGCTATACAGTAGAGCGTCGTTTATCCGAAAGCATTCCAGTCGGCAAATTTAAATTTTCGCTAGTGCTGTGGCACTGCAATCTTCGGCTATTTCTTGGGTTAATCAAATATTTTACGTTTTTGATACTAAATTAACATCTGAAGTATAATTTTTTATTGTTTTTATATTTTTCAATATATTTATTTTGTTTGTACAAAATAAAAAAATAATTTTTAACGATACAATAGTATTCGTTAGGCTTAACATCGATGAAAATTCAACGCGAAGCGACACGCAACGGAGAAAAATTTCAACACGGGATAAATTAATATATTTTTTCGCGAAAAATAAGTTATCTGAACCACCCCAGTCCCCAATTGATTCGGATAAACGACGCTCTACTGTAATTACATAAATAAATGCTTATCTGATTGAAATTTACTTTCTTTGAATTCTTTTATGAGTATTATTTTTTTTCTAAATATCTTTATGAAAATTTTGGAGTTGTGTTAAATTCGGGCTAATACGGTATTAATGCTTTGTCTTATTTAATAAAAAGTAAGTTTTTGCATATAACAATTTGAATATAATACAAGTTAAAAAATTAAAAATAAAAATTAGTATTTTGAATGTCCATCTTTAACATCCAGTAGTGATTCTGTATCACAAGGAATACTTTTTAATACATTGTTTTTTATTTTTGTTCTCATAAATGGGGCTATGTTGCCATATCTTACAGTACCTTTCCAAATTGTTAGACTCACTGACTAAAAGTTTCTTTTCTTGTAATATCATTTAAGGAACAAGCAATTATTTATTGTGACATTGTCACAATGCCAAACTACGCTTTTCAATCGTATTTTTAAACACTGTAAATGTAAAATAGTTAACTTTCTACTTCAAAAAGAAAGTGATAGAGGTTCATAGTAAGAAATGGCAGCATAGCCCCATCTATGAGAACAAAAATAATAAAATGTATAGAGAGTATTCCTTGTGTTACAGAAGCACTACTGGCTATTAAAAATGGTCATTGAAAATACTAATTTTCAGTTTTAAATTTTTAAGTTGTATTATATTCAAAGTTTTATATGCAAAAACTTATTTTTTTATTAAATAAGACATAAGAAAACATTAATATTTTAAATAATCCTATAAACAATTGCATTTTTATTGAATTATTATATTAAAAACTATATTTTTTGCATGGTCTAATAATGTGGAAAGGTACTGTAAGTTTATACTTAGGATGATTCAAAATCTTGACAGTATTACTATAATTTTTTTTTAACAAACTTTACAATATTTTATACATTTCTAAAATTCTGAGTTTAATTATTTTAAATTAATCTTTTTTGCAGTGACTAACTTCGTCTTTACTAAAGTAAATTTTACTAGTTTAAATTGCAAATGAAAAATTAAGACTTAAATGATTATGGAGTAACTATTGTAAACTAATCCATTTGAAAATGGTTAAAGAATGTTGTCAATTTATGGCATTTAGAGATATGTAAAATTTTCTATTTTTACAAGAGCAATATATGGACTAAAAAAAATTGGGAACAACTGCTCTGGTGACAATGAGACAACTGAAAGCATTGCACTCAAAATGTAAAGAATTAAAATGATTAAAGATCATAAAACAAAAAAATTACTTGAATCTTTTTTGCCTATGTGAAGGATTGAACTTTATATTATTCTCTTAAAAGCAAGAAATATATGGAAATAAAGTAGTTATCAAGCTATTAATGCTTTAAGTTTTTCTTATTTATTATTAAACACACATGTTATGAATAATAATTGTAATTACAAGTAGTTTACAAGTAGTTTCTTTTTAAGCATTTTAAAAGTTATTAAATAATTATTTTTTTTTACAGCATAAGACTTTGAATAGAAATATATTGTTAATTTGTTGATTTGAATAGAAATGTATGATTTATTTAATAGAAATCTATTATCTAATTGCAATAACAAGTGAATTTATATTTACCTGTTGTCATTTCTTCTAATAATTCTAGTAGTTTTTCTTGAGTTTCATCAATCAATTTTGTTCTTTGTACCACAAGTTTCCTTAATGATAAATATCCATTAAGTACACATCCAACCAGACGAGATTTTGAATGTTGTCTAATACTGTCTACTTCAACAAATGATTCTAATAATTCAGTCAACATCTTTAATGCATATCCTAAAATCAAAATTAGTTGTTTAAAATAAATAATTTAAATTAATGAATTAATTTAAATTTGATTTACCTTGAGAAAGATCAGAATTTAATGTTGTTTCTTCCAAGTGAGATAAATGTTCTATTTCTCGTGTAATGAGATTACCCAAATGAGGTAATAAGCCACGAAGTGCTAGATAGTGCTTCCATGGTGTGGGATGAATTAGACTTTGAAAAAGAGCTAAATATTCTGCTGCACTTTCTCCTGCAGTTCCTAAGTCATCCAAATAAGCAGTTAACATATCTAATATCTTTCTTCTTCGACTTGGAACCTGAAAATGTTAATACTGTCACATTTGTCTGAAGTCACAACGAAATTTAAAAAAACAAATGGAGAAATTATTTACTGAAAAATATTGGAGTTATTTTGAATTGTGCTTTTATATATTGCTGCTTGTAACACTTATTTTTGGAGCTTTCATTGCTTCAAAATTGTAAATATCTTCAGTAGCTTGAGATCTCTTCAATTAATTTTTGTATTCTCTCATGGTTATCATTATTGGAATTATATGCTGATTTACCATGTAGTTTAACTTATTTAACATGACGATTCTGATTAAAACTATGAAGTCATCCACAAGAAAACATTATTTTGAAAGCTTAGACTTTTTGGAAAGTTTTTTTTAGTTGCCTCAATAATCATAACCATTAATTATTGTTAGATTTTCATGTTTATGGAATCAGTCAACCAAATGATTGTTTACCTCACAATAAAAACTGTTTATTGGGTTGCAATTTGAAAAAATTGTAACTTATAAATTCCCACTGTCATCCGTCCAGCTGTCCTTCCTTAATCTCGAGAATGGAGTTAGATAAATGAAAGTCAAGACCAGATATAGAAAGCTTAGGGGCAGAGGCCTCAATTAACTATATATGAACTTCTGATGCAATTGAAGTTATGTTATTTCAATTCAAAACTTTCCCTGAAAGGGATTAGGTAGATGACTGGCATGACTCTATTGTTAAAAGAAAAATATGATGTACAGGGACAAAACACTACAGTACTAATTTGAGGTGGAGAGCATATATTTTAAATTAAATAAATTAAAAATATGATTAAAAATTGCAGCCATAATTGCTTGTTTCTTTCAAATTTGCCTAGTTTTGAATTATCAGTAGAATGTTTCAAATTTTGCACATTATAGAACAATAGATGGAAACCAAGACTAAATTTGTTGCCAGGATGCAGTTCAGACATGTGCTTCCATTAAAGTAATAAGACATTGCCTGTAATTTTGTTGAATAAAGAGTAAAGATTAATTTTTCTTATTTTTCTTTATCACATCTGAAGTATAACAGCTCATAAAATATTAGTTATAAAATCTGTTTTATAGTCTAGATGGCAAAATGTATTTATAATCCCATTAATCCAATACCTAGGGTCTTAAACAGAATGAAAACTAATGCACACAATGTTTTAACTACTTCTTTTAGGCAGTAGTAGCAAATGCTTGTATCTTATGGAAATGTGCTAATTTCTCTTCTTTCTTTAATATATTGTTTTGTGTCTGTTCTTAACTGCTTTAGCCATATACAATTTTGAGTCAAAACTTAATGTATGGATTCATTTATCACTTTTACATTATGTAATGTCGTTTTCAAGAATCTAGTTAATAATATTTACATGAATAAGAAGTCTCTCTCTAAAATATTCAAAACTGTCTGTCAAATAAGCCTAACAAAGTGTTTGAAAGACAAAGCAATAGTGTCTTCCACTTGGAAGGATTTGTTTTTCTGGAGGGGGTCAGTTAATAGGAGGCATAATTAGCAAATTAGTCAGGAGTCCCAAACAGGGACAGACTTGAATGAATGCTGCTGGCCCAGCTCCCTGATTGGACAATTGTTAGGCCTTGGGAATCCCTTAAAAAAAGGGACACAAAGAGAAGAGCACTTTGTCCAGACTGCCAGGAGGGAGAAGAAGGAAAAGTACTGTACATGGAAAGCCTCACCTGGACTACAGAGAAAGAGAAAAGTTACATTCAGATGCTGTATGAACTTATTTCTTGATGCAACCTATATATATGTGTAAAAAGGATTAAAATTTGGATTGTAAGGTACCTTTCTGACAAACTGTAAGAGTCATTCATAGTGGAGAGAAGGACCTCTGACTGAGACTTCTCTCAACACATGATATTTGAATCTACTGTGTCTCAATTTTCAAAATGTAAATTAACCATTCAAATAAGACAACAAATAATAACCAGTTTCTACTAACAATCTCTTGTAAAACCCATTACATCTCCATAAGAACTTTTACATAATTTAATCTGAAAACACCAATTTATAATATTTACCTGACATAAAGCCTCTATCACAGAGCAAGCCATAGTCCTAGCTGCTTGAGATGAAGGGTTAAACATTACACTGCGAAGCCAGTTTGACTGTAAAAGTTTTAACTGCATGGCACGACGATTTGTCTTTTCCTGCCATCTTTTTCCAAATTTTTCCATTAAGTAAAGAGTACGAACTTCTTCTTTCTTTAATTTACTAATTGGAGTGCTTTCTGCTAATTTAGCTGGAGCATGCTGTTTCCAAGCTCGATAAGAATGTTTAGAATCACCCGCAAGCCATTTTGATAAATCCACACCTACTGACATACCTTTAAATAAAAAACAAAAAACAAAAATTTAAATACATTTTCCAATAAATATTAGAAATATTAAATCATTATTATATTTACCAGTTGCTTGAACTGTTGAAAGTGAATCAGTAGTTTTTTCTTTATGCTTTTTACTTATAGGTGGTTCTGGTCTAATTAACATTTGCAGAATTTTAAGACAAGGTAATGTAATACTCTCCATAACAACTGGACTTCTGCTATTAACTCCCAATAAAAACAACTGCATAACACATCTAAAAAAATTATCATTTTTATTAACAAAATTAATAAGAATTTTTAAAATTGATACAGAAAGTAAATTAAATATTTAAATTAATAATAATAATAAAAAATAGTTGGTTGGTAACGCAAAATTGTAGACTGGACTTGCTGAACTATGATGGTGCCCCATGGACAAGGGCATTTGCAAAGAAGGTAAACTGAGCACTTTCCCTCAGAATTGAGTACAAAAGTTCTACAAATTATAATTGTAAAAGTAATTGAGATATGTAAACTTACACCCTCATTTGTGGGATGTTTTATCTCTTCTTTTGTATTGATGCAATACTGTATTCCATAATCTACTTGTAAAACCCCAAAAAAATAAAATAATAAAATAAAAAATTTATTGATGTAAATCATATAATTATTTGTCTTCAAGCTTTTCTCCCCTGGAAAATTTTCTGTGGATGTTCATGTCTCTAGTCTGATATATGATACATGAAAATGAAACCCATAACAGAGATGTTTATCATCTGTGATGACTGAAGGGCAATCATTGAACTAACCCATTCCTAAACTGTTCAGGTTCAAAAATCTAATTTTACTCGTTATGATGTATATAATTTAAAAGAAATTGAAATATTAATTTGAAAAATGATAGAATTCAGTAATTATACAGTGTTCTCCAAAATAAATGTGCCATAGTAGATTGTGAGGAGAAGCTTACATGCAAAGCATCAGGGACAAGTGTATAGTGTACTGGTTACATGATGAATCATTTTGGGGCTGCATACTGTCAAACAGAAATTAAACAAACCCTAGTTGTTAAAATTTGATTGGTTTAATAAACCAAAGTTCAGCAAAAGTTGAGATATTCTCAACTCCTAATGAACTGGTAGAACACTTGACTAAAGGGCATAGACTGACAATCCGTATCCACTTTGTAGTGGTTTGTACCTAAATGTGAACCTAGCTTTAATGTCTGAATTACATTTTTGATTATTTGCATACTTATATTTCTTATGATCTATTTATGAAATTTTGAAAACACTCAAAACATATTTTTCCATACTTTTTATGTTAAAATTATAAAAGTAATATTAAAAACTAATTATAGTATTTTAATTTTATAAGTGTTTATCTAACAAAATGTTTAAAAAAAATATACTACAGTAGATCCCCCTATAAGACGGTAGATACGTTCCGTTCTTTATGAATCAATTTTGTAGGAATCATAGTTTATGGACTACGGCTGTTTGAAAGGTTTTCTTTCATAAAATTAATCGATTCTAGACTAATTTGACTCAACATTTCCAAAATACGTATATTTTTTTGAAAATAATCCGTATAAACTACGTTATAAACAAAAAATTGTAGGATTGCTTACCGAGTGTGTACCGTTCGACTACGCCCGTTGCTAAAGCTTGGTTTCGTCGCGGAACAGCGCATCAAACCGCGGCCGCGATTTCTGATATTATTTTTCTGCGAAAACTTCGTTGACCTTTGGAGACATCCTTAATATAAATAATTTTTATGGCCGTTAAATAAGAAATGTTTCTTTCACAAGAAATGTATAAAATTACAGTACTGGACAGACGATAGGTCGCCTAACTCGCCGTAGCGTGACGCTAGACGGCGAAAAATATATATTTAATTATAATAAAGTTACAATAAATTAAGTTAATATATAATTATATATACAGTACCTAATTTATATATAATTAATATATAATTATATGTACAGTACCTAATTTATATATAATTATATGAACAGACGATACTAAACTCAATTTATCCGCCTAAACGTCCGTAGCGTGGCGCTACGGACGGCGGGAAAGTAGTTCGGCTGCCCGATGACGTTTTACGTATTATAGGAGTTATTTTTACCGTTGTTTACGGATAATGCCACAATTTTTATAGGAATCATAACTATAGGAAACGCTTTTATAGGGGGATCTACTGTATTTTGATTTATAAAATTATTATTTAAAGTTCAATATACCTCAATCTTTGTTCCCAACAGGAATCTTCTTTCTGTAAACTACTAGCTAAAAGAGCAACTTCATGTCTTACAGCAGATGCAAGATCTGGACTAGTCATATGACTTTTCAAAGCAGTAATTATTTTTTCCATCAATAAACTATTTAAATCTGCAGTAGCTCGTGGATTATCACGTGTCAATAAACATAAAAGCTGTCTAACTTCATGTCTAACTTGTACTGTTCCATGACGTAAATTATATGCAACTAATTCATTAATGAGACCTTGGTTACATAAAATATGTCTGTAACGAACACTTGTGGCCAAAGCACGAAGTAAAGTAATACAATGATCTACAGCAGCACTAGCACATCCATAGCATTTTCCTGGTGCAACTCTCAAATTACTAGATCCTCCAATTTCATCAGTTATAGATTTTACTCCCATGTGTATAACATTATCTGAATTAAGCGAAGGCGTTGATGCTTTAACTCGAGCTTCTCTTTGTCGTCGTTCGTAATCTACCAACTCTTTCTGAGAAGCCAAAACCTAAAATATTCATTTGTTATAATTAGTAATAAATATTTTTAATCATAATGACTTTTAATAGATAATTAACTTTATTTATAATAAAGTTTTCATTTAACAATAATTTAACAAGATGATCTTAGTGAAATAAACACTTGAATTTTTCATTAGTTAAATTTTAAATTCATTTAATATTTCAAAAGAGTTTTAATTTTTTTTAACATATTAATGTTTACAATTAATTTCAATAATTAACAATAATAAATACAATAGTCTGGATAATAAAATATAAAAATAGTCACAAATTAGAAGAAACAACAAATATCTTCATATTTTGTCCTTTTAAACCTCACGAATGGTAGTCTTTACAGGCAGAGTCTGTATACACACAAAAATAGTGAAACCTCCATTAATGGGCACTCCCAAATAGCAAACACCTCTACTTAATGGACATTTTTACAATCCCCAGACTCTTCAAATAAGACATCTGTTATAGTCACTTCTAAATAGTGGTACACTAAATAACAGACACCGTCATCCATAATCTATCTTACAAAAACACAAAGTTCTGAAATAAATAATTATGTACAAAATATTTTAAAACTAAAACAAAGTATCGGTTCAAATAATCTTTCAGATTAAGAATTTTGACCATAGGTGTCAAATAAAGACTGGCTTACAATAAAAAGGAGAAGGCAATTCGTGAAAAGCCAAACAATATTCATTAATTGTTAGAGAAGAGTAATCTGGTTGTCAATCACAATTTATCATCATACATATTAATGTTATTAAATTTCTGTCTTAAGCTTATGGTACCAAGAAACCATAAACTTTTCCAAAGTTATTCATTCATTTGACAAGAACTGTAGCACAGTAGTAATGAAAAATAAAGTTTTAAGGTTATGACAACAGCATTTATTTGGTGAAAGATCAAAGATCATGTTATGAAAGTGATTTGCTGACTACTTTAAAGTGTAGGAAGATATTTGGTTTTCTCGAATTTATGATCTTAATAGCTTTGTGATGGCTAAAGTAATTTTTAATAAATCATTTATTGAAAAAAGCAAAAATGTTCAAAAAATTACACCTGCTTGATAATCAAAAAATAGACAAATCACTATTTTGATTTTTATTAGTTGCTTAGATCATAAATGACATTATAAATGCAAGAATACTGAAAACATTTTTTTACCCCTTGAAGTGGCTAGCAAATTGCCATTGTAACATGACATTCAAACACTCATCGCCTAAACCCTTCTGTTCATAATAACAGTTTCATTTTTCTTTTTCTTTACTTATGCTCAGGTCAATTTTGATGGATTTTGATAATTAATCAACGTTTATATTTTGTTGTTATTGTTCATCATCTCACACATTTAAAAAAATTAAAATATACAATTGCTAAAATGAGTAAAAGAGCCAACATTTTATCAGATTACACATTTTTTGGGTTTTCTCTGTCCCAAAAATATATTTAATCTAATAAAATTTTGGCTTCTTTAACTTATTTCTGCAATTGTATATTTCTACTTGTCGTTTCCTTGGAGTTGACATACTCTAAAACTAGTCTCATATTTTTAAACAACAAATTAGAAATTTTATTATAGAAATGTCTTAGAAAGAAAAATTGTAAATGAGAAATTTTAAATATTTTGAAAGAAAAGTAATAGAAAGTAAAAATATCACCATCAGTTTGATTCCTTACACAATGAATATAAAGAAAAGAAATAATCACATATTTATTATATATAAATGTATATTTTTACCTAATCTGATATGATTAGCTATTCTATTTAAATTATAATAATTTTGTTTACAAATTAAATAATGAATTTTTCTAAATGTCATATAGTAATTGATCAATTATCTGGCTTCCAGAGATCTGGAATTACCAGAAATTGGCTATTTTTAAACTTGGCAGGCTGTAGCACAACTGCTTTGTTTTGGTTTCCATGGTGTACATGTTGCATGATGCCAATTCCATTATGTTCTTTAATTTTCATCCTAAATATTACATTATACATGGATATTCTATATTTTAAGAAGATGAATAATAATCAAACAAATCCTGCTAAAAAGTATATTAATTTGTATCTGTTAGATATAGTTTTATTCTTAACTTTGTTGTTTATTTTACATTTTAAGTAAATATTTCAGAAAATTCAAAAGTCTGAAAATCTGGTCCCCAGCTTGCCAGATAATTAGTCTAATACTATATGAACTTCTTGCAAGATATGAATTGAAAATTATGAAACTTTCTGTATTATAAAAAAACAGTTAATATAAAAGATAAAGTAATTTTACAATAAAATGTATGTAAGACACATTATTATAAAGATTAAAAATATCAAAATTAATACCTTTTGTACAATTTTGCTTAGTTCATCAAATGAAGCTTTACAATCACTACAGTAACGTTGAGCTAATTGCTGAATTGCTCTATTAACACTTGATGATCCAACAGTTGGCCCAGCTGATGTTGCACCAGTACCATCATCAGCTCCTCGATCTAATAATCCATGCTCATAGATTTTTAGTAACAAAAGTTCCAAGGCTGGCTTATTAGCAATTAATTGCTTATATACGTGATCAGCTTTTTCTAATAAATTATTAATAGTTGTAATTGCTTTCTTACGGTCATCTTCGTTTTCAATAGGATCAACTGCACAGCAAGGTTTAGCTGTAAGAGTGTAATCAAATTTTGCATATTTGCAGAACCCACAGGAATTGCATAAGAAAGGATCTTTTTCATCATAATTGATTGCTCGACATTTATGACACTGAAATACATTTTCACCACAGTTACCACAGACACCTGGATTGGATGGAACAGAAGCACTGCATCGTGGACATTGTAATGTTTCAGAAGACGCCTGAATATTTTCATAGAAATCTGCATATTCTATCATCAAATTACATGCTATAATAGGTAATGGAAATTCAATTTTTAATTCAGTTTGTCCTGCTGCAAGAGTACACTTTTTTGCTTTGTGCCAAATAGACGGCTTATTTTTTAACTCAACAACAGATTGAACAGAACGATTATTGTAATAAATATTTAATGTATGAACCATTTTATTCCTTTTGATATCTCCAATTCTCAATGTAATTTTTGAAATTGTATGACTACCAATTAATTTTACAATTTGAGTTGTTGTTGTAAATCTAGAGTCTACTTTAATAGCAGATAATTTAATATTTGTATATGGTACTTCAGGATTATTACATACTAGACATGGCTCACTTTCTAAATAAAATCCATCAAATTCGACAAGACCTTGCAAAGAATTATATATATTGGAATTTGGATGATTCATTAACAATTGATTTTGTTGTTGTAAGACATCTAAAGCCTTCTCAATATACTCTTTTTCTTTTTTCTCAATTTGTGGTATTCTTAAAGTAAAATAACCTAACAAATCGACGAACTGAACTGCTTTACGGCCATATGCAGGAAGCTGTGGCCATAATTTCCAAAGCAAATCCAATAAATTTTCCTGCTGATTTGTATTTGAATTTTTATAAAGATGAAAAACAAGAGAATGTGCTTGCCATCGTACTGATGTAGAATTGGATTCTAATAGGAATGATCTTATAAATTGGCTCATTAATTTTTTATCTACAAATTTATTTACTTGTTGAGCCAATACAACACACTGAGCTGTATCATATTTGGGATTATCGTCATTGTCATCTTCAATATCTTGTTTCTCTCGCTCCTTTTTCTGTTTAGCAGGTGAACTTGTAGCTTGAGGAGTTGTTGTCCCTGCTGTTTGATTCTGAGGAAAAGCTTTCATACCACATAATGCACATTGTAGAAGTTGCAAAATTATTGGTGAAACTCCTTCATCAAGTAAAAAACTAACATGGATTAGAAAAGAAAGAATACTTTCATCTTTTTGGCAGAATTTCTGCCAGTTACAAGTGCGGGATGTGGCTATTTCTGTACAAGCCTTTAAATGTTCAATCATTGAAATAAGTGAATCATAAGGCAAACTAATTGTATTATTCATCCAGCCATGTCCATCAAAACCTCCTTGATGACATATTATTTTTACATCCTTCATATGTGATTCCAGTGCATGAAAATCTCTTAATTGGCGATATTTATCTTTAGATCCACAGATGAAAAGTAATAGTTTACGAACTTGCCTTCGAACAAAAGGTGTTTGCTGCATCATCATGTATTCACACAAATAGGAATACCAAGCCTGATTAAATACAACTGATGGTGAAGATGGATGACTACTCACTATTTTTTTTATTTGATAAGGCAGTCTTAACACCATATCAGTTAGAAGTTGTGGATAAGCTTCAAATACATCACTTGCATGACCTTTAACATACTGTCTTAAAAAGAATGGTGACATATCAGGAGGCGGTGATGAAGGATGTGGTTTTAGCAAATTTCCTGTTATACTTGCAGATTTATCATCTGCTTGTAGCTGTTTCCAATAATCTAATAGAACTTTTAATATCTGGAGACAATAATCAATAGCATTACAGTTTAAAAGAGCTAGAGCTGTTGATGAACTACAGAATGTAGATGATTCTCCAATTGATGTTTTAATGCCTCCTTTTACTCTAGACATCATAATACTTAAAAGACGCATGATTATTAATTGTACTTCACGGCTAGGCGTACGTTCTGCAATTTTTGATACGTCTTTGTTGCCAATGTCCAATTCAGTTATTATAGCAGTAAGAAGATTGTCAAGAGCAGCTCTATCTCTTTCTTCTTCACCAACAAGGTCTGAACTTAACATCAATATAACCTGAAATAAATTAAGATTATTATAAATTAATTTTTTATTATTTAAATAATTTATTTAATATAAGAATTATATATAAAATAAAAATAGTTAAATGTTAAAAATTAACATGCATTGTTATTCTAACAACTTGTGCATGTTACAAATACAAATGAATAAATTTTGATATATTAACTGACAACTTTAAATAATGTTTATTGGGATTAGAATATTTATCGAATGGCAAACATTAAAGGGAAAAAAATTATGTCAGATTCTTCCACGCTATTTTATACTGAAGTTACAATTACAGTTAATAATAATACAGTGGAACCTCGGTATACGACCTTAATCTGTTCCTGATGTTTGGACTTATACTGAATAGGACGTATACCAAACCAACCTTTCCCATAAGAAGTAATGTAAAAATGATTAATCTGTTCTCATGTAAAAAAAATGGCTGGCTTTAAACACCTTACTTTTGTGGCTAGTTCCTGCTTGATTTTTCATGAGATCAGTATGTATCTTTTTAGCTTTCTCGCAAATAATTGCTTCTGATACGCTGTCGCCAGCACACTGTTTTCCAAAGCAAAAGCAATTTCTCAAAATGATCTAATGTCTTCAATCTCTGAAATTGATTTAACCCCTTTCGCAACGTTAGCAGATTAATAATGTATTTATTTTTCATGATTGTCAATATTGTTGTTCTCAGAATATGATATGCAACAGTTAAATCTCAAACACACATGCCACCTTCATATTTCTCAACAATTTTTTTTTTTTCAGTTCCATTGCGATTCTAGTCATTTTTTTAGTTTTCTGTTGCTTTTCATTTGCCTTTTTGCAATTCATGATTAATAAAAATAATAAAATTTTACTTACAAATTAAAATCAGAAGAAATTTAACAAAGTTATAAACCATGGCACTACAAACGTCTAGTCTGTCCTAGTACACCAATAGTGCTACTTGTTCATAGATGACGTGTATAACTGAATTAAGTCGTATACTGTACAAAAATTGTACACTGAGCAAAATTTGTTTCATCCAAACAGAACATATTCTGAATTGGACATACTCTAAAGCAGACGTATACTGAGATACCACTGTATTTGACTTTTAGTTATCATTGTCTATATAAAAAAACCAACACCACTTTACCAGTGTATAAGTTTGTTAAGTGCTTTTAGTCTAAACTATACCCATCTGCATCTGAAAGTCCATTACAATTATATAACAGAATAAACTAACTGTTATATTATTTCACAAATACATTGAAAATTTCAATTTATTTGTTTCAGTTCTTATAAATTAAAATTTTCATAATCATAGTGCATGATTTAAAATTCTATAAAAATAAAATTTTTATTGATAAGAACACTTGAATATACAGTAAACCCTCAATTTAACAAACTAACTGAAAGAAGGGATGTCCACTATTGCTGAGAGTCCATTAAAATGAATATATTTTAAATGAACTTATAGATTGCAAGTATATTAAAATGTTGCTATAATGTATAAACACAAGTAAAATATTATAATTATACACATCAAGTAATTTAGTCTAATCGATTCATTGACTTATTGATACAATCTCTTTTAAGTGTGGTCTACTGCCAAATAATGAAAAGATTCTATAGTTATTCCTTTTGGAAAAAATTTTTGTCCTACATTAAATTGTTAAACTGAGGTGTTGCTGTGTATAAATATTATATATGCATTATTTTAATTAATTATACATTATACGGATATATATATAGAAATAACAACCTGCATAAATGGAATTGCTCGGACTCCTCCTACATCTCTTAATTCAGGCAAATACTGAAGCAATTTCTCAAGTAAGATAAGACGAAGAGTGTGCAATCGAAAGCTAGTATCCACATCAGCTTCCAACTCTAAACCTTCTCCTTCTTGTGGTAATGATGTGCTTGGAACACCAACTGAACTTGTCTCTGAACGAGCTCCGGTAGTAGTACTTTCTGGAACTGTATCACCATATGCACTACTTCTGCCACTTACATTATGCTCTCCCATAATAGAATCAACTCCACTACCGCCACTTTCAGAACCAGCACTGCCACCCTGAAAAAATTTATTTCAGATTTACATAACAGAACAAAAAAATGTTAAAGCTAATATATACTCAAATAGTCTATTTTTATATATTAAACGTCAAAAAAAAGTCTACATTTTAATTTACATTAAAATGAAGAAGTTAATAAATGCATTCAAGTTTTGAATGTAAATTACAAAATAATTTAACAAATAAATACTTTTGTAATCCTTTAAATTTAAAATTTACACAAAAAATTTTATCAATTATTTTAATCATTAATCAAATTTTGTAAATTCTAGAAAATAATCTGTTCAATTAATTCCAAATATATTTTTTTTAAATTGACTTCATAATTTAGTGCTTTAAGAAAAGATGAAAAATTACAATAATCTCAAATATATTTGAAATAAAACAAATCTAGCTTCAACAGATTAACAACAAATTCAATCTTCAAAGCTTTTATGACAAACATTTTTAAATAGTCTTCTTTAAATGTTTAGTTCCTAATAAAGTTCATTCTTAAAATCAATTAAACAATGAAAATATTATTACTTGAAAGGAAAAATGAAAAGAATGCTAAAGAAATGAATCCGCTGATTATAACTTTTTCTATGCTAAAATTTATTTATTTATATTCATTTTAATACTGAATAAAAACATAAGTTCTCTTAAAAAATGATTTTAGTACTGAAAACTTAGGTTTGAGTACTATGACCTGACTAACCATATTAGTCATTTATGATTATATCTAAATTAATTAATTAATTGCTCTGGAAGCAAAGATCTGATGAAGGTCAAGGTAATGTAACTGGCAATACATTTGCATGGTAAGGAGGTTTTGCAGATGCAAGTCTGCAAAACCTGCAAATCATTTTTCCCAGAATATTCTAAACTTAAATTAAAATTTAATTTATTTCCAATTATTAAATTTGTTATGAGATGGTGACCTGACCACCTACCTCTAGCCAAATTACTTTATTTCTAATTATTAAATTAGTTTTAATATAGCTTGATAAATAATCAAGCAGTTTGCTTAGCCTTATAAGACATATTTCTACATCTTCCACATGCACAATTGAATTATAATGTTCAGTACAGCTAACACACAGTATTTTAACAAAAATATTTTATAAGTATACATGTGCAATATTTAAATAAAAACGTAATTAATAAAGTTACAAAATATGAATAAAAATAATATACCATGAAAATGAAAGAAGCAAAACTGTCATAATAATACAATGACACACTTATTTAATTTTTGTCTTTTTTTGGTTGCTAAGCCTTGATTCTGGACTAATGTAGTACACAGAAACTGGTGACAACCAAGTATAGCTCACTAAACCAACATAATAATAATAAGACAATCAAACATTATCACGTTTTGATGATATGGGCCAGTTTTAGTGTCAACTACAGTAAACATTTATAAAAGTGTGAAATTCAAATGCAAAAAAACTAAGACAATGCATTTTGTTTACTCAATCCTGAAAACAATTACAATCTTTCACCAATCCTAACAATAAATTAAGTATTTGAGTTTAATAAAGCAATGATTGTACTTGTACACTCTACATATCATCCAAACAGCATTCTAGACACACTAGCATGCTTATCAGAGAACAAAGTACAATAAGTAAGATATGACAATACGTAACTTTGAACTTCTGCAAATCACAGTATAATTCATTACTGTTTCAGTTTAAATATTTTTAAGAATTGGTATTTTAAATTTATTATTATATTTTAAAATATTTATTAAATCTTACCTGTTCTGCTGGAGATGTACGAAGTGTTGATCCATCTGTAGCAGCAGTACTTCCTTCATCATCACTTGCTCCAGCAGAGGCTGTTGTATCAGAATAATGTCCACCTTCAAGTGAAGATGCATGCTGTGAACCCTGTGAACTTAGTGACAGACCCTGCAATCCCAAACTATCACTTCTTTCTGGTTGATCCTATAACAATGTATAAACAAGTTAAAACACAAATTAAATCAACTAAATACAGTTATAATTTTCATAAAAATTATTGAAATTTATTAAATATTAAAATAAAAATCTAGGGTAAGTCATATTTCAATCTGCATTTTGTATTTACAAAACAAAATATAAATATATAAAAGATCATTTTACTGTAAAGAATTTGGCATTTAAAAAAATGATGATAATTTATTTAAACAATCAAGCTGATATACTTCATACAGCTACAGAAATATAAAATTAAATAAATTTATTTGGTTCAGTAAAGTTATCAAAAATGCAATTTTTAGCTACTTTATTATCAACCAACTTTTAAATTAGGCAATAGAAATATCCAATTAACAAAATATATATACATGCATAATATGTATGGATTCAAACTTTGTCTTTATTGACATTGTGGCTCACCAATAACCATCATCAAGAAATAACAAAATAAATAAGAATCAAATAAAAATAAAGAAGAATTTAAATATATACATAAATGTAATTTAGTTCTGAGAATGAATACTTCTAATTTTATTCTTGAAAATAATATATTAAACTAGAATAAAATAAAAATTAAAATGATCTAAAGTTTCAGTATCTTCTCAGAAAAATTATATATTATTACCTGTAGACTTAGGGCAATTGCAAGTTCTACCATTGTTTCATCGTCAGCATCAGGAGGAATATCAAGAAGTGGAAATCCAGCCTGTCCAGATATTAATGCTTCTAAATTTGCTGCTGCAGCAGCACCTTCAGCAGGTAATAAAACTACTGGTTCAAGTCCTTCTACCATTTCAAACTGAGATTCTCCATCTTCTTGCATTGTAGAATCATGATGTTGAGAATCTGATGATATTGGTACTTGTATTGGTGTAGAATTTGAGACATGCGAATGTACTGATTGAGGTTGAGGATGAGAAAGTAACTTAGAATCACTGCTTTCAACATCATGACTTTCACCTATAAAATGTATAATTTGCATGAATATCTCATATTAAAATATAAATTTTGAAAATTTGATATTTAATTTTTATCATAATCAAATTTAAAACTTTTAAAACTTATGAAAGTGTACAAAATGTTTTTCCCAAGCCTGATTCAATGTTCTTATAAAATAGTGTAAGCTTTCAAATATTTTACTCTAATATAAATTAGTTGTTTATAACTTAGATTATAAATCTAACAAAACTAAACAATAAAAAATCTATATTGTAGATTTATAAAGAACATGAATTATTAAAATGAATTTCATTCAAAAGATTTATATTCAGTTTCTTATACATTCTTCAAATTTATCAAAACATGAAAAAATTTGTTATTGTGTTCAAATGATAATTTATATTACAGGCTTGTAATAAAATTTCATCAATACATTCATCAACAAAACTTAGAACTATTTATTAAAATGCCTATATTTAATGAGATTTATCATCATTAATAAATTAAAATAAAGTTTAAATTTCTCTAAATCATCAAATATAATATAAATACTAATCAACTATTTGTTTTACATAATTTATTAGTTTGATTTGAGAATTATGGAAGTTAGATCCACATAAGAAGAAGAAAAAAAGTTTATCATCACATATTTCTTTAGATTTAAATTTCAAAGCTACAAAAACAAATTTTTTATTAATGAAATTTATTAATACAAGCTGATATTTAATATTGTTTGGCACAAAATAAATTTTAAAGTCAAAATAATTTTGTGATAAATTCACTATCATGTTTATGAGACAATTTGAAGGGGGTATGGATTATATTACTAACACAAATGAATGCCTATGAAGTATATTGAGCATAAAATTATTTAAAACAATTTAAACAACAAAATAAATAAATAAATTTGCTCCAAATATTTTACTTGATATTTCAACATTTTTTAATTAATATAATATAGTATCATAATAAATAAAAAGAAATTTAGTGTTTTTAGTTATTTGTTGTTTAGATGAAGAATGTAATAACAAAAAGATGTAAAATGTTATTTAAACAACATTCTATAACAAATGTACTGATGTATTTTATTCTTCAAGAAGTTTAAACAAAGCAACAGTTGGAACTGATAATGGCTTGAAAGAAGTTAAAAACATTTTTAAAGAATTTGGTTTCCTTAAATAAAGCAGTGTGAAGTAATTAAAATTCTAAAATATTCATTTACTGAGAGCAAAGCTTACCAGGAGTGCTACAATGAGGTGGTGAAGGAATATATACTTTTCTACGTCGTAGACGTGGACGTAAAACTCTAATCAAGGCCTGCTTGGCAGCAAAGCTGGCATTAATATCTTCACAAAGTAATAATTTGACATACAGCTTTGCAGCCAAAGATACATTTTCTAAATCACAAGCTGTAAAGGCATGGAATACTTCAACGAGGGCATGAACCTAAAAATAAATAATTTATACTTATTAAAGACTAAGATATCAATTCAAATNCTTTGTACTTTGTGTCCAAATAAAAATGTTTTTCATTTTCTATATAGCTCCACATGTAAAATAATACATGGTCATTTTTTGCTTCCTTCAAATTTGAGATTTAGAGGTTTTACTGTATTTATTATTTTAATATATACATTTATGAGTTCAATAAATTGATAATTTTAAATTATCAATTTCAAAGAATAATTTAACTAAAACAAAGTTTTTTTAAATATAAACAATAAATTGTCATGTTAAAAGCATGAGAGAATATGCTTTAAATTCTTTGGCATTCAAATTCCAAAACTATTTGCTGGATTGACTTTATGCTTTGTCATCATTATGTAGTGATCTTGTTTTTTGAAATTTCCCCAAGTATATCTGTCATGAAAGGCTGCCTTCATGTTCTCTCATCTTTGCTGTGGTATCTTGTTATGGGTGGTCTCAAGGGATTTTAATTAGCTTTAGGTTGTACACTCAGGATATGCAGACAATATTGTTCTGCTTTGTGTTGGGAAATTTCCTAACACTATCAAGACTTTCTTCAAAGATGCCTATGTAATGTGCAGAGCTGCTGCTAGTTTAACAGCTTAAGCATCAGTTCTGACAAAATGGTTATTGTTCATTTTACTCACAGAAGGACTTTGAGGAATTTTTCTGTGCCCTCACAGAGTTCAATTTTTTCTTCAGTCAAATATGTTGGGGTAATGCTTGACTCTAACCTTTTATGAATTTTGCAGCTGGAGATGATGCTAGATAATGTCAGATATATCTTCTGGTTATGCAGAACTACTCTTGGTAAATTTTGATGTCTGCAACCACATGTCCTACTTTGGATTTATTTTATGATAGTTTGACCTAAAATTGCCTATGCTGCCTTAATTTGGTGGCCTAAGATACTTTGAAAGAACTGTCAAATAAACTTGCAAAGTTTGCAGCATACTATATGCCTACTATATGGGATAACTACCCAGGGTCATGTTTATAATCCTAGGTAGTTCTCGAGGTTGTATTAAACCTTTCTTCCTTTACCTATTCACACACAGAAGAAAGAAGGATCCTTTACAGGCTGAAGTGTAATGGTCAGCTTACTTTCAGAGCATGCTCTTTTGATCAATTGTCTCTACTGAGAGACATTTTGAAGGAAGACATCTTTATTAATTCTGACAAAATGTTACCTTGGTTTAAATTTGACAAGCATTATTTGGTCTACTTTCCTAGTTTCTTTGACTGGAATTAGGGGTAGGGTGACCTTTCATCCACAGGATTTAGTCTGGTACACAGATGGATCCAAAACTAATACTGGCATGGAGACTGGCATTTGTGGAAGACTTATTTTTTGCATTATGCAAATTTCCTATAGTGTTTCAAGCTGAATATTAAGATGCTAGCTATTATTTAGTGTGTCTGCACTATTTTAAATTATTATTGTTTTCTATTTTATGAAAATTTTTATAATGATATTGGTTCAAATTCCTGTTAAAGTGAATCTCAGTAAAAAATTTATTATTAAAACTAAATGAATTAGAATAAAGTAAGAGAGTTATCTGAATTAAAAATTTTGATATATTATTTTAAATGTTTTAAAATATATTTTACCTCCTTCACTAGTTTCATCTACTAATGTTTGATCCTGTGATTCTGCAAATCTGACTAAATTTGATGGACGAGAAACAGCAACACCTCTAGCTATTGAGATCAAGCGATAAAAGGCTTCACCATCCATTTCTTCAGAAGGTTTTCCTTCACAATTAAGACATTGTAATACATAATTCAAAAGAGCTTGATCCTAAACAAAGTAAAAGTATGATTTGATCTATATACATGCCATTTTAAAAACTTATGAATATCTAAAGTCCATTTTATATTATAGAAAAGATTTTACTTCTATACAATATATAAAAATAAATTGATTCATTAGTTTACCATTTGTTTTCATAAAAGATAAGATGGAAAAAATCATTTACTTGTAGAGTTAGCAATGGAAAAAATTATATTAAGAGTTTTAAACACCAATAAAATGTCTAAAGTTTTTTCAGATATTAGCAATATAAATATTAATGAATTAAACTCATAAAATTAAATTGCTTAAAATACTTGAATTATCAACCAACGAGTAATGAATATTTCATTAATTACATAATATACAATGAGTAATTTTATAGTAGAGATGGTAATGCATCAGTAGAATACCTTCATATTTCAACAGCAAATATGAAATCAAAAGAAACATTTTTGGTTAGTTTATAAATCTTCAAATTTGTTATTCCTTCTTTTTGTTGTGTTTAGCCCATAAAATATTAGGCTTTATTATTAATTAAAATTTACAATTACAGTCTTAATAATTTCATGTTAAGCTTATTATATGTAGACAGCCTTTTTAAATTACTATTTTATATTATATTTGCCAAGATGCATTTTGGACCAATAGAAAAAAGCCAACTGAAGAGGGACCTTTGGTCTGAAATGACCAAAAGTCCCTCTTCAGTTTGGCTTTTTTAAAATTAAAATTTGAATATTTCAAAACAACTTTTTAAATGGTTTTTAAAAACATTGCTTACATGTTTCGATGTATCTGAAATAGTGATGGGACGATTAATCAGAATCAGAAAAATTGGACATTTTCTGGGTATCAGAACCGAGAAAATCTTGTCTGGATTCCTGATTCTTAAAAATGATTCTTCCACATTTAACAAGAAAAGGAATTATTTGTTTCAGTCAAAGATTAAATTTTTTAAAATTACAATATTAACAATCAAATATTAGTTTATTGGAAACTTTCATGTTGATAAAGCCCATGTGTGATGCCCCATATGTGAGATGATGTTTGTCACGGCAGAGTTTTCTTTTGTGAAGTCAGAGCAATGAGAGATTGCACTTAGCTGGTACTAATTGTCCTGTCCCCATTTTAGGGGAGATATGACTTGGGTTGCCATCTGGCCAGCATTGGACTGGCTTCACTAACAATCTGTATTCATATATATATATATATTACATTTTGCTTTTAATATATATATTAAAAGCAAAATGTTCTGTCATCACTACACAAATAACAAATTTTTAAAATTTGAATATTTCAAAACAAATTTTTAAATGGTTTTTAAAAACATTGTTTGATTTTAATTTTAATTAATTTGATTTTACTTTTGGTTTCAGTATAAAGACCAGAGTTTTAATTATTATTTTTAATAATTTTTATTTATTTAATTTTGCCTGCATTTTTTAACCCTTAATTACAACTTTTTTAATTGCAATTCTTTTTTTTTGCAACATAACTATAGAAATTGTTTTAGTGCTGTTTCACACAAAACTTAATCAAATTTAAATTAATTTTAATTTTTTTGGTAATTCCATAAATTTTTTGTTTCATAAATTTGTCTGCTTTTTAAAAATTTTAATTATATGCACGTTAACATTGATTGAATTATCACACTATCAAGTTTCAAATCAAGGCCAGCAGTTGCAAAAATATTTACCTGTAAGTGTCAGCAAAACAATTAAAATGTAAACAAAATTATACTTTAATTGAAAAATATTATATAAAATTATTTTTAATATTTAGTATGTTTACTTATAATGATAAAATGGCTTTCTCATTTATAATTATGGAAAAATTTTCATAATTTTGTTTTTATTATGATTCACAGGTGATGCCTTAATATGTTAAATTTTCAAATGCAATTTGCACAATTCTGAATAAAAATACTTGATCATGCTAAGTTTAATGCTGTTTTGAGTTTTAAAAATTGATTTTTCAAGACAAGTCAGTCTAGATATTTGGGGCTTAAGTGAATGAATTCAAAAATCAGTTAACTCATGACTATATTTCTTTGGCTGAATAAAAAGGAATTAACTGTAATTTCTTTGAGGACAGTGTTGCAATAATAACTTTATTCAAAATAAGATTACAAATTTATTGATATTATGTAATACACAATAAAAGCATGCATATCCACATATAAATGGAAAGTTTTCATTTTCTTTCAAAAGATTGATTATGGATTTTCCAATTGTTTTCCATTCTTAAGCTTGATGTTTATTAATTAATGAATGTACCATGCTTGCAATGTAAATTGTTAATTTTTATAAATTAAAATAAATTTTAGAAAGTATTCAAAAGAACTGGAATCAGGAATCATATTGGAATTGGGAGTTTTTGGCAGAACTGGAATCCAGAGAAATTTTGGTATTGTCCCATCACTAATCTGAATTATTATTATTATTATTATTTTTTTTTTTTTTATTTTTTTTAATGTAAGTTGAAGATAACTTTTTTCTAAAATAAATTTTTTGAAAGAAAATTCATTTAAATATTTATGAAAAGAAAAATGTTTGTATTTTATGAATAAACATTAAAAATAATTTAAAATTACAAAATAAACAGTTTTTTTAAGCAATCTCAGAGAAAAATTTGTTTTAAGAATGAAACACAGTAAGTTAAATTTTTATTAAATAGTTATATATAAAGTTAAAGTTTATTAATAAATTTAAAAAAGTGAAAAAAATATATGTAAAGCTTATAGAATATAATCAGCTTTTCTAAATAAACTATGTTCTTAGAATTAGACTTATATAAAAATTACATAATTTTAATTACTGTACTTACTTTATGGTTACTATATGCAGTCCTATTATTATGAAGAACAGCAAGTAATGCTTTCACATGCTGATGTACTGCAGGAGGCGTAGGAAGGGTCAACATTTGAGTAGCCATTTCAAGAGCTGCAGTCTTTAAATTATCCTTCTCTTCTGTCAATGCTCTTACAGAAAAGCATCCATCTAATAATTCCATACTACTTCCTACTAATCTAAAATAAAAATTTCATGAATTATAGCAAATTATTACTATTTGAATTTTCTTGGCTAATCATTTATGTATATAATATATTTTAAAATGTCAACATAAACCTGAGAAATTTAAAAACTCAAATGTTCAGAAAATCAGAATAATGCATTAAGCAAAATAACTTAAAAGCAACATGCCATGAATAATTAATATTTACAAACTGTCAATTTTAATTGAGGTAACACCAGATGAGAAATACAAACAATTCAAACTAAATGCATTTGTTATATTGGTATTATAACAGTTTCAAAATTATAGTATATATGTTACCGGCCAAACCCAATTTCAGGCCAAACTAGTTTATCCTACGCGTGTCAGGATATACTAGTTTAGCCTAGGACAATCTAGTTTGACCTAAATACTTTATGCTTAACTAGTTTGTCCTAGCCAAACTGATTCAGAATTATTATTTAAGTCAGGCCTGGACAACCCAAATTGTTTTGCAGGCCACTTTAATCACGCGTAACATTACAATGGGCCACAATTTAGGTAAACATGCTTTTAAAAAAGTAAAACAAATACAAAATGAATAAGATTACATTGTTATACCAAGAGTTCATACTTGCACTTGCACATTATAACAATGAAACATGCAAATTTTCATTTATTTAATTGTTTTGGTATACACAAAATGGAAAATGAAAGTTTTAATAGATATATAATGTTGCTTAGCATGCCACACAATTTAATGTGATGGGTCGTGCGTTGGCCAGGCCTGATTTAAGTATATTAATGGTTAAAATAACCCTTAATTACAACTTTTTTAATTGCAATTCTTTTTTTTTGCAACATAACTATAGAAATTGTTTTAGTGCTGTTTCACACAAAACTTAATCAAATTTAAATTAATTTTAATTTTTTTGGTAATTCCATAAATTTTTTGTTTCATAAATTTGTCTGCTTTTTAAAAATTTTAATTATATGCACGTTAACATTGATTGAATTATCACACTATCAAGTTTCAAATCAAGGCCAGCAGTTGCAAAAATATTTACCTGTAAGTGTCAGCAAAACAATTAAAATGTAAACAAAATTATACTTTAATTGAAAAATATTATATAAAATTATTTTTAATATTTAGTATGTTTACTTATAATGATAAAATGGCTTTCTCATTTATAATTATGGAAAAATTTTCATAATTTTGTTTTTATTATGATTCACAGGTGATGCCTTAATATGTTAAATTTTCAAATGCAATTTGCACAATTCTGAATAAAAATACTTGATCATGCTAAGTTTAATGCTGTTTTGAGTTTTAAAAATTGATTTTTCAAGACAAGTCAGTCTAGATATTTGGGGCTTAAGTGAATGAATTCAAAAATCAGTTAACTCATGACTATATTTCTTTGGCTGAATAAAAAGGAATTAACTGTAATTTCTTTGAGGACAGTGTTGCAATAATAACTTTATTCAAAATAAGATTACAAATTTATTGATATTATGTAATACACAATAAAAGCATGCATATCCACATATAAATGGAAAGTTTTCATTTTCTTTCAAAAGATTGATTATGGATTTTCCAATTGTTTTCCATTCTTAAGCTTGATGTTTATTAATTAATGAATGTANTCAAATTTGTAAACTTTTATATATAAATAATTTATTCAAAAATTAGTGTTTATTTATATAAAGAGCTAATCAAAGCTGTAATAGTATAAAATTTTGTTATGGTTAATGACATGTAATATACAGTCATAATGCATTTCAAACTGTTACAATTTTGTAAACAAACACAATACAGACATTAAATATGAACCAAATTAAAGAGAAACTGTCAAAGTTTTTATTCATACGTTTAATAAAGTTTGATGTGTGCTCTAATGATTGCCCTGCAGATACCCAGGCAGTATTCAGTTTCTTCCCACAACAAAACAAAAAACATTAGGTATGATAAATAAGGTAGATTCCATGATCTGTTGTTTCAAGTGTTTAATATCATTAACTTATCCCATGTTGAATTTTTGTTGATGTTAAGACTAATGAAAATTCCACGTTTTAGAAAAAAAATAATCATGGCTATTGTATTGTCCAAAATTATTTTTTTATTTTGCACAAACAAAATAGACATATTAATAAATGTAAAAATTTAAAAAAAAATGATATTTTGGAAGTTAGTTTTAATATAAAAATTATGCTGACTAGCAAATTCTAGTGTCAAAAATGTCCTGACGCAGAAATGAGATATCTCAGGTTCATGGGTCAAGGTCATTATGTTTTGACTCAAGATATATTGAGAATACCAGGGAATAGGTTAATGCACACACTGTAAATGATTTGCTTGATATAATTACAAAAGTAAAAATCCAATAAGAAGAAGTTGAAAGAGTATGGTGGCTATGCCTTCCATCTTCCCCTTCCCATCTATTACTGTAGAAATGTCTCAAGGAACTCCTAAATAATGTTGGAAGACTTCAGAGGAACACCATCTTGCTGAAAATGACACTTTCACCCATAATTTATGTTATTGCATACAGTTCCAACATATCAAGATAGCTGTGGTATCTTGGCTAGTTGTGCATGCAATCATTCCCCTTCCCTATTTACAACAAACAGAATGTTAAAAAGAAACTAAGAATTGCTCTTAAATTTAGTACCTGTCTTATATAACATTGCAAGGAATTATTAGAGAGATGTGACAGTTTGAAACTTCAAAACTTTTTGGACATGCTGTACTGTACATTTTGTAGAGATGTACTCAGTGATAAGATATTGTTGCATAGTTATACCACTATACATAAATGATCTACAGAAGTTTAGGATAATTGACTTTTATGATTCTGAACAAACAAGTACACAAAAAATATAATAAAGAATGGAGTTTAAATTAATTATTATTATTTTTAATACTACTGTTAAATACTTACTGTTGCTTCCACATGAACTAAACCATGGCGAGAGACTGGGGCTAATGCAATGTTTTTGGGTTGTAATCCGTGAAGACGCCAAAATGCATCGGCTAACTGAATCATGAAATGTCCACTTCCTGTTCCATCTGATCCAGCTGATCTTTGTGGACTGCCAAGAGAATGGTGAGATGTATTGTGTGTCTGATGATGTCCTGGATTAGAACCATGGACAGGGGGCAAGTTTGAAATATCACCTGTATCTATATTTCCATTTTCAACCATTGTTTGATCTAGAATAAATATTAGTTTATATAAGATAATGGAAATTTATAAAAAAATAACTAGTAGTAATTAAAATATATAAAGAGTTTTAAGCTCTAATCTCAAATCGCTCCTTAAGTTGAACTGAATTGTTGGTCCCAGCAAACACTATATAATAATAATAATGTACAGTACATCTACTCCTAATATCAAACAAAATTTCACACATCTCAATGTTGTCCCCTTTAAGTCAAACTCAACAGGTGCTGACCTACCTAAGTTTTTATTAAGCTTGACAAATCCTTTTGGTGTATTGCCTGGTAAAACTGCTTAATATAGTTGAATAAGCAAGCCAATGATATATTTTCAAATTTACCAGAAAATTTGCTAAATATAGCTTTTCTGTAGTATCATCGAGTGATTTAGAAGTTATGTTCTCCATTCATTGGGAATATTAGTGGTTTTTTATGTCACAACTGACAAAGGACACTACAGTAGCAAAAATCTATTCACTTTTTTTTCCATCAGAAAATACTGATTTTCTCATGATTCACATTTCAATTTAGAGCAAAGTTCTTTGTTCATGGCAGCCAACTTGAATTTTGTCTTTGGTACTTTATGAACTTGCAAAGTCTTTTACATTAATAAAAATCTGTTTGCAATCCATTTTTTACTCTGAACAATTTATATAATGTATTATGCAAAATTTAATTTTTGAATAAATTCAATGTTTCATAGAGAGATAATTTTGTGATAAACCTAAATTCATGATATTTATTTAAATTATTATAATTATTATTACAGCTTCATATATTGTTCCAATAATGATTCAAATAAATATCATGGACTTAAATATACCACAGAACTGTATCCCTTATTCTACTGCTTTGTACTTTGTGTCCAAATAAAAATGTTTTTCATTTTCTATATAGCTCCACATGTAAAATAATACATGGTCATTTTTTGCTTCCTTCAAATTTGAGATTTAGAGGTTTTACTGTATTTATTATTTTAATATATACATTTATGAGTTCAATAAATTGATAATTTTAAATTATCAATTTCAAAGAATAATTTAACTAAAACAAAGTTTTTTTAAATATAAACAATAAATTGTCATGTTAAAAGCATGAGAGAATATGCTTTAAATTCTTTGGCATTCAAATTCCAAAACTATTTGCTGGATTGACTTTATGCTTTGTCATCATTATGTAGTGATCTTGTTTTTTGAAATTTCCCCAAGTATATCTGTCATGAAAGGCTGCCTTCATGTTCTCTCATCTTTGCTGTGGTATCTTGTTATGGGTGGTCTCAAGGGATTTTAATTAGCTTTAGGTTGTACACTCAGGATATGCAGACAATATTGTTCTGCTTTGTGTTGGGAAATTTCCTAACACTATCAAGACTTTCTTCAAAGATGCCTATGTAATGTGCAGAGCTGCTGCTAGTTTAACAGCTTAAGCATCAGTTCTGACAAAATGGTTATTGTTCATTTTACTCACAGAAGGACTTTGAGGAATTTTTCTGTGCCCTCACAGAGTTCAATTTTTTCTTCAGTCAAATATGTTGGGGTAATGCTTGACTCTAACCTTTTATGAATTTTGCAGCTGGAGATGATGCTAGATAATGTCAGATATATCTTCTGGTTATGCAGAACTACTCTTGGTAAATTTTGATGTCTGCAACCACATGTCCTACTTTGGATTTATTTTATGATAGTTTGACCTAAAATTGCCTATGCTGCCTTAATTTGGTGGCCTAAGATACTTTGAAAGAACTGTCAAATAAACTTGCAAAGTTTGCAGCATACTATATGCCTACTATATGGGATAACTACCCAGGGTCATGTTTATAATCCTAGGTAGTTCTCGAGGTTGTATTAAACCTTTCTTCCTTTACCTATTCACACACAGAAGAAAGAAGGATCCTTTACAGGCTGAAGTGTAATGGTCAGCTTACTTTCAGAGCATGCTCTTTTGATCAATTGTCTCTACTGAGAGACATTTTGAAGGAAGACATCTTTATTAATTCTGACAAAATGTTACCTTGGTTTAAATTTGACAAGCATTATTTGGTCTACTTTCCTAGTTTCTTTGACTGGAATTAGGGGTAGGGTGACCTTTCATCCACAGGATTTAGTCTGGTACACAGATGGATCCAAAACTAATACTGGCATGGAGACTGGCATTTGTGGAAGACTTATTTTTTGCATTATGCAAATTTCCTATAGTGTTTCAAGCTGAATATTAAGATGCTAGCTATTATTTAGTGTGTCTGCACTATTTTAAATTATTATTGTTTTCTATTTTATGAAAATTTTTATAATGATATTGGTTCAAATTCCTGTTAAAGTGAATCTCAGTAAAAAATTTATTATTAAAACTAAATGAATTAGAATAAAGTAAGAGAGTTATCTGAATTAAAAATTTTGATATATTATTTTAAATGTTTTAAAATATATTTTACCTCCTTCACTAGTTTCATCTACTAATGTTTGATCCTGTGATTCTGCAAATCTGACTAAATTTGATGGACGAGAAACAGCAACACCTCTAGCTATTGAGATCAAGCGATAAAAGGCTTCACCATCCATTTCTTCAGAAGGTTTTCCTTCACAATTAAGACATTGTAATACATAATTCAAAAGAGCTTGATCCTAAACAAAGTAAAAGTATGATTTGATCTATATACATGCCATTTTAAAAACTTATGAATATCTAAAGTCCATTTTATATTATAGAAAAGATTTTACTTCTATACAATATATAAAAATAAATTGATTCATTAGTTTACCATTTGTTTTCATAAAAGATAAGATGGAAAAAATCATTTACTTGTAGAGTTAGCAATGGAAAAAATTATATTAAGAGTTTTAAACACCAATAAAATGTCTAAAGTTTTTTCAGATATTAGCAATATAAATATTAATGAATTAAACTCATAAAATTAAATTGCTTAAAATACTTGAATTATCAACCAACGAGTAATGAATATTTCATTAATTACATAATATACAATGAGTAATTTTATAGTAGAGATGGTAATGCATCAGTAGAATACCTTCATATTTCAACAGCAAATATGAAATCAAAAGAAACATTTTTGGTTAGTTTATAAATCTTCAAATTTGTTATTCCTTCTTTTTGTTGTGTTTAGCCCATAAAATATTAGGCTTTATTATTAATTAAAATTTACAATTACAGTCTTAATAATTTCATGTTAAGCTTATTATATGTAGACAGCCTTTTTAAATTACTATTTTATATTATATTTGCCAAGATGCATTTTGGACCAATAGAAAAAAGCCAACTGAAGAGGGACCTTTGGTCTGAAATGACCAAAAGTCCCTCTTCAGTTTGGCTTTTTTAAAATTAAAATTTGAATATTTCAAAACAACTTTTTAAATGGTTTTTAAAAACATTGCTTACATGTTTCGATGTATCTGAAATAGTGATGGGACGATTAATCAGAATCAGAAAAATTGGACATTTTCTGGGTATCAGAACCGAGAAAATCTTGTCTGGATTCCTGATTCTTAAAAATGATTCTTCCACATTTAACAAGAAAAGGAATTATTTGTTTCAGTCAAAGATTAAATTTTTTAAAATTACAATATTAACAATCAAATATTAGTTTATTGGAAACTTTCATGTTGATAAAGCCCATGTGTGATGCCCCATATGTGAGATGATGTTTGTCACGGCAGAGTTTTCTTTTGTGAAGTCAGAGCAATGAGAGATTGCACTTAGCTGGTACTAATTGTCCTGTCCCCATTTTAGGGGAGATATGACTTGGGTTGCCATCTGGCCAGCATTGGACTGGCTTCACTAACAATCTGTATTCATATATATATATATATTACATTTTGCTTTTAATATATATATTAAAAGCAAAATGTTCTGTCATCACTACACAAATAACAAATTTTTAAAATTTGAATATTTCAAAACAAATTTTTAAATGGTTTTTAAAAACATTGTTTGATTTTAATTTTAATTAATTTGATTTTACTTTTGGTTTCAGTATAAAGACCAGAGTTTTAATTATTATTTTTAATAATTTTTATTTATTTAATTTTGCCTGCATTTTTTAACCCTTAATTACAACTTTTTTAATTGCAATTCTTTTTTTTTGCAACATAACTATAGAAATTGTTTTAGTGCTGTTTCACACAAAACTTAATCAAATTTAAATTAATTTTAATTTTTTTGGTAATTCCATAAATTTTTTGTTTCATAAATTTGTCTGCTTTTTAAAAATTTTAATTATATGCACGTTAACATTGATTGAATTATCACACTATCAAGTTTCAAATCAAGGCCAGCAGTTGCAAAAATATTTACCTGTAAGTGTCAGCAAAACAATTAAAATGTAAACAAAATTATACTTTAATTGAAAAATATTATATAAAATTATTTTTAATATTTAGTATGTTTACTTATAATGATAAAATGGCTTTCTCATTTATAATTATGGAAAAATTTTCATAATTTTGTTTTTATTATGATTCACAGGTGATGCCTTAATATGTTAAATTTTCAAATGCAATTTGCACAATTCTGAATAAAAATACTTGATCATGCTAAGTTTAATGCTGTTTTGAGTTTTAAAAATTGATTTTTCAAGACAAGTCAGTCTAGATATTTGGGGCTTAAGTGAATGAATTCAAAAATCAGTTAACTCATGACTATATTTCTTTGGCTGAATAAAAAGGAATTAACTGTAATTTCTTTGAGGACAGTGTTGCAATAATAACTTTATTCAAAATAAGATTACAAATTTATTGATATTATGTAATACACAATAAAAGCATGCATATCCACATATAAATGGAAAGTTTTCATTTTCTTTCAAAAGATTGATTATGGATTTTCCAATTGTTTTCCATTCTTAAGCTTGATGTTTATTAATTAATGAATGTACCATGCTTGCAATGTAAATTGTTAATTTTTATAAATTAAAATAAATTTTAGAAAGTATTCAAAAGAACTGGAATCAGGAATCATATTGGAATTGGGAGTTTTTGGCAGAACTGGAATCCAGAGAAATTTTGGTATTGTCCCATCACTAATCTGAATTATTATTATTATTATTATTTTTTTTTTTTTTATTTTTTTTAATGTAAGTTGAAGATAACTTTTTTCTAAAATAAATTTTTTGAAAGAAAATTCATTTAAATATTTATGAAAAGAAAAATGTTTGTATTTTATGAATAAACATTAAAAATAATTTAAAATTACAAAATAAACAGTTTTTTTAAGCAATCTCAGAGAAAAATTTGTTTTAAGAATGAAACACAGTAAGTTAAATTTTTATTAAATAGTTATATATAAAGTTAAAGTTTATTAATAAATTTAAAAAAGTGAAAAAAATATATGTAAAGCTTATAGAATATAATCAGCTTTTCTAAATAAACTATGTTCTTAGAATTAGACTTATATAAAAATTACATAATTTTAATTACTGTACTTACTTTATGGTTACTATATGCAGTCCTATTATTATGAAGAACAGCAAGTAATGCTTTCACATGCTGATGTACTGCAGGAGGCGTAGGAAGGGTCAACATTTGAGTAGCCATTTCAAGAGCTGCAGTCTTTAAATTATCCTTCTCTTCTGTCAATGCTCTTACAGAAAAGCATCCATCTAATAATTCCATACTACTTCCTACTAATCTAAAATAAAAATTTCATGAATTATAGCAAATTATTACTATTTGAATTTTCTTGGCTAATCATTTATGTATATAATATATTTTAAAATGTCAACATAAACCTGAGAAATTTAAAAACTCAAATGTTCAGAAAATCAGAATAATGCATTAAGCAAAATAACTTAAAAGCAACATGCCATGAATAATTAATATTTACAAACTGTCAATTTTAATTGAGGTAACACCAGATGAGAAATACAAACAATTCAAACTAAATGCATTTGTTATATTGGTATTATAACAGTTTCAAAATTATAGTATATATGTTACCGGCCAAACCCAATTTCAGGCCAAACTAGTTTATCCTACGCGTGTCAGGATATACTAGTTTAGCCTAGGACAATCTAGTTTGACCTAAATACTTTATGCTTAACTAGTTTGTCCTAGCCAAACTGATTCAGAATTATTATTTAAGTCAGGCCTGGACAACCCAAATTGTTTTGCAGGCCACTTTAATCACGCGTAACATTACAATGGGCCACAATTTAGGTAAACATGCTTTTAAAAAAGTAAAACAAATACAAAATGAATAAGATTACATTGTTATACCAAGAGTTCATACTTGCACTTGCACATTATAACAATGAAACATGCAAATTTTCATTTATTTAATTGTTTTGGTATACACAAAATGGAAAATGAAAGTTTTAATAGATATATAATGTTGCTTAGCATGCCACACAATTTAATGTGACGGGTCGTGCGTTGGCCAGGCCTGATTTAAGTATATTAATGGTTAAAATAAAATTAAAAGGCAATCAATTAGATGAACAAACATTTATTCAAACATAGTCTACTTAATTATAAAAAACAATATTGATTAGAAGTGACACAACACTTGTACTAAACTATAAAATAAAATAAGCTAATCAGTACTTATCAGTTTGTATTTTTTCATTAAGCCATGCACTTTTAAAGGTAATTAACTTTCGAAAATATTTTCAAAAATTCAAATGAAATAATAAAAATAACTTTTAAAGTGAAACTAAAATTAAAAATGAACTTGTTTGTTTTGTGTTTCTTAGTGTAACATATAAAATATTTAATCCTTTATTTATTTTTTACAGGGTTAAAGTGTGGTTACAGGGTTAACAGGTGGGTTAAAGTGTATCTAGGTAACCCCAATGGCGGCACTTTGGACTGTTTGTGCTCCCGTAAGACTCCTCCTGAGGGGAGCCGCTGGTAGGCCGCCCATTGTTTAATGTCACTAGTTAGTGATTCACGGTAGTTCTTGAACAAAAGAAAAAAGGAAACGTCTACTAAAAATGTAGTTAACCTAACCAAATCAACCTAACCAAAGCACCACCATTGGAGTTACCTAGGTACACTTTAACCACCAGGTGTACTGTGGTGGCATTTTGAATTACACAAAATCATTTTTTTTACACTGGCACCTATTTGTAGTACATAAATCAGTTCAGCTTAGGTCAAACTGGGATAAACTAGATTATCCTAGGCTAAACTAGTATATCCTGACATGTGTAGGACAAACTAGTTTGGCCTGAAATCAGGTTTGGTCGGTAACATATATAAATGGAACAAGTTGATGACTAAATTAGGCTCATGTTCAAAATTAAATGCAAGTACACACAAACGTAAGTACTGTACATGGCAAAAATGCAGAAATGAACAGCCCTCCATCACAACAAATCATCCAAATGCCTTCTATGAGAATTGCATAAGCCACTCGTGTATCAAACATTTCCTCACTGTCAGCAGTTGTAGCAGACAATTTTTTGACAAAAATGATTTCACTGTATAAATAGCACATTACATTTTTTCAGACGGATGTACTGCTATCATGTCTCATTTGCATGACACTTGCATGATAAGATGTAACTTTGCTGATTTACATATGATGAAAATTTCAGGTACTCGCATTGCATGATGTTGATTTTATACAGGTTTTGTTTGTGTTGCTTTAATTTTGGACACTTTTATATAAAGAGGATTTTGTTTTCTTTATATTGTATGAAAAAGAAACATGTAAATTTAGAAAATAAGGATTAAAATAGTAAAATATTTTAATAAAATAAAATATAGATAATAAATACATATAACAAATTTATTTTAATTATAATAAATCAATTAAAATTTTTAAGCAATTACAGTAAGTTCTAAATTAATCTTTCATAACCAACCAACACAATTTGAAATTACATAAATACATGAATAGAAATTAAGTACACTATTTTGCACTGCATGTTTTGGGCTTTCATTGTCTATACTCAGCTGATGATAAACAGCAAAAAACCAACATACTCTTACACTCTTTTATTCTCATATTCTTACCAAACATCACCTTCAAAAAATGCGTTGCAAATTTTGATGAATAAATATGGTGTTTACAAATTATTCATTGATTAGTGACAAAGGATTCATCTAGAATTTATAATATAAAAAAAGAAAAAATAACATTGTTCCAGTTAAAAATAAATTACAATACAGATAAAAATATTATATTAAAGCTAGCATTTTGTGTGCATTGAATCATGTAACAGAATAAATATATATTTCTGGTTGAATGTTGAAGTTATTTTCTAAAGATTATGTTGAAAATAAAGAATTTTAAATAATATTAAATAAATAAAAAAACCTTAATAAAATTTAAAAATATATAACTGTCGTCACAAAAATTTCAAAGCTTGATTAAATTTGCAGAATGCAATTTTTGAAGTCATAGCCAAAGGTAATCTATAATCTTCTAAATTTAGTTTTAGAGTTTTGAATAATAATAATAAACAGAAAACACAAGTGTCTTAACTCATCTTCAAGCATACATGCATTAAAAAAAAATCAAATTTAACAGTTCTAACAACAATTTTTCAAATTTAAACAATTACTAAAAGTTCCAAATGAAGCTCACAAAGAGAGAAATTCATTTACTCTACCAGACTGAGATTAAAGCTTGTCTCTGTTTATATGATCTAGGTTTGGTCTGTATTCTATGTATTAAATAAAACACAGATAAATGATATAATTATTACTAAAAAAAGTTTAGTAGTAAAATAAGATAAATAGTTAAAATAACAGTTATGTGTAAATAAATGATGAAAACTAATATATTTTATAATTTAAAACGAATATTAAAAAACTAAAATTTCAGTGAAAATATGCAATTTTTTCCTTACACTTCTGTAACAATCACTAAGGAATAATAATATGCTGTCACTATTAGAAATTATTGATAGGTTCCATCAAGATCAAAACATTTGTTTTAATTTTTAAAAAAGTGTTGATATTTTGAAAAGCTTGAATATTTTACAGAAATTTTTTTCCTTATTCCACTTCCTACTGAAAGCCACTGCTTTTAGTAAATAACTATTAATAGAATTAAGTTGATTTGTTATAATCAACTTAATTCTATTAATATGCATTTATGGTTTCTTTGTGATAAATTTATTATTTAAGATTATGCTTTATTAAAAGTTTTAATTGCTAACAATCTTCAAGAACTAAGAAACTTATTTTGACAAATATTTGTTAATCATTAATTGAGTAAAATTTTGTACATTTACCTATCAAGAGGTGTTAAAGGTAAAGGAGCAGCAGGAATACCATCTACATCCATACCGACAATTGAGTAACCTCCTTGAGCATTTGAACCAGTTGCTGTTGTGAAATCATCACTATCTTCAGGCCATCCAAATGCTTCCTTAGTTCTGCCATAAATTTTTATTGAGTCGACCATAGTTACACCTGCAGGATCAGAACTAGCTCCAAAGATTATTGTCAGTTTTTTATCAGCAGTTAATGATTCCTCTCGTGTAAATGGAAAATCATACCAACGGTTACGGGTAAGAGAAGCTTGTATGGTGCGTCCAAAAATTTCTATGTATGAAGGAAATCTTTGAATATCCTGACTACCAATTAAAATACGTGCACCAACCATAACCATTGATGAATCAGAATTATAAACTTCAATTTGAAAGCCTGCAGGTTTAGTGCTTGCAATGTAAAGACCTGTTGTGTTTAATCTATGTTTTGCTTGCTGCACATTATAAACTTGTAATACATCGTTACCTCCAAATTCAACATCGGGCATTGCAGTACAATGTTCGAAAAAATCTATTGGAAAAGAAATTACTCCTGTGGGGCGACCACTTTTTGTAGCTTTTTTTTTCTTAGATGGTTTTAAATGAGTAGGCACGGTAGTAGGCTGAAAGGCAGGCATCAACCAATATCCAGTTTGATCCTGATTAGCCATATATATTCTCAAACTACCATCTTCACAGAGTAATATTAGTGTAGTACGCATTTCTCCACATGATATTGAATGACGAATTGCAACCATATCAGTAATTTTTGATTTAGCAGTGAGAAATTTAATTTCCTGAACTAATACTGCATCGGGTTTAACCATAAGTATTACTGGATTATTAGAAGTTTGTAACTGAGCTAATATTAATCCAGGATGATGAGGAACTTCTGACCATTGACAAAGTGGTTGAGGTGTAGGTTTTGTACTACTTCCACTTCCATTAGAAGATTTAAGTTGCACATAGAACACATTAGTTAATTCTGATACGACTTGAGGGAATGGAGAAATAAAACTTTTTCCTTGAGAATAACTAAAAAATAATAATTGTAAAGTGTGGGAATAATAAATGGACACACCTCCACCACCAATTGTTCCATTTGAATCCTAAAATAAAAATAAAAAAAATTATTAATATTTATTAAAAGTTTTAATAATATAGAATTAAAATCTTAAACTTTTTTGTAAGAATCAAATAATTATTTTATATATATTTAGAAATGGCATCATTCACATATGAGGATCAAGATTGTATACAAAACTCAACAAAAACTGAAATGAATAAATGAGTTATGCCAAGTGTTGATTATTATGCTGCATTGCGGTTTTGAAAAACTAATTATTTTAAATTAAGCATTCTTCCCATTCTCAGAATCAAGGAATTCTGAAAATGAGAATAGTTATTGAATCTGTGATAATTGAAGAATATATGATTTTAAAAAAATTTTAAGTTTCAATTTTCAAAAATTCATTTTAAAAACTTGGTTTCAATTCCTACAATGAAACTTAACAGGATATTCATTTATTTTTGGAAATCACTTTTTATGCTGCCTGCTGTTTTAATCTGTGTACCAGTGATGAGTAACCTTTTCTGGATGTGAGATGCAAGGGAAGATTGTAGGCTTCTGGAAGTTTGCATATATTTTTTCTTAGAGTTGCAGGCTTTAAGTGTGCTGGTACAATCATACTTCATAACTACCAGTGCACTAGATACTAAAATAATGTATGATAATGATGTGCAAACTAGTAATATACACAGTTTATTCTCATCTTTTTACTGATTATGTTCAATTTGAATGTTCTTTGTCATAAATATCAGCTTAATTAGGATTGAATAATGGCATGAGGCAGAAAGTAGGAAAATAAAATTACTTTGCCAAAGCACTGGGAGTTGCATATTAAGACCTTGCATGCCACCGGTTGGTCATGACACGTATATACTGTGGAAATATTGATTGTTCAAAGTTGATAAAACCAGGGGTCTTTCAGATATTCCAGAAATTTGTTTCTATGTGCTTTGTTTACATCAACATTGTGCATTTAAAGTTTCATGAACTATAAATACTAATACAATTACAGAATTTGAAGGTAAATGAATTTACTCAAAATCTAGCATAATATCAAGTATATGACAGTTTCATGGCACTACAACTGACATTTGATAGAGATTTCTAGTTACATGGAGAGTTTGGTCTCTGTGGTATGTACAATGTTACATGTTCTAGTTTTTGTTTGGTTTTGAAATCATTTTCGATAATCCAAAATTTCAGATAATTGTGATTTGAGTAATTGAGTTTCTACTGTAGTTAAAATATAAAATATTGATAAAACTGATTATTTCAATAGTTCTTCCCTCTAAATTTATTAAATTATAAATGTTTTTTATTCTGTAAATTATTTATTAAATCTTTAATTTTTGTATAGATAACAGATTAAAATACACAACAGTGAGAAAATATTTTTAAATTTGCATGTTCTGGCAAGAAATTACTCTAAAAATATTTAAAGATTTTGGTCTTCTAGATGAAATCTGATTTTCTACTATTACTAGAAGACATATTTGGACAATGCAATTTTTGTGCAGAAGTGAAAATGAATTTCAGCATTTATTTTAATTTGTATGAAATGCTATTTCAACTGTTTTATTTCATATTTTGATACCAGAAGTAATGTGACTAAACTATAAATGCTTCTTCTATAGAAATACTATATTAATAAAGTGATTATATATACATAGTTTATAAAACTTACAGTTAATTCAGAATGAGTTACTTCCAAGATATTAGTTACATAAAAAGGTCCATGTTTGGCTGAACTTTCTTCCACCATTGGCTGATAATATATATGTCCGGCAGAAGACATGAGCATCATGTGACGTTGACCATCTTCAGAAAATACAAAACAACAATCTCGTATTTTACCACTAGGTAGTAGGAAAAAAAATTGAGGACTTAATGCATCATGGCATAAATTATATATTTTCACAAATTCAGCAGTAACTAAAGCAAGTTCTGTTTGAGAACCAGGTAACCATAAAGCCTGTAAATAAAAAACAAATTTGTTTTTAAATTTTACACAAATACTATGCAGCAGGAAACTTTTATTAAAGTGTAGTTTCAGGAAATCTCTATTGATGTAAAGAAACTACACTTTACATCTAAATATTCAAAACACTTAAAAACAATTAAAAATTCAGAAATTTATTAAATATTAAATGTCTTTGAACTTGCCAGTTCCCTCTTCAGATCAGTGTTATAAACTAAGAACATATTATTTTGTAATAAAGTAAGTTTTAAATAAAATTCCATATGATCTTAACATCTTAAATGATCAATTTCACTTTACACATTATAACATAATATAAATTTTACTTGAAATTTTATTTTATGTTCTTTATTTGTAATAATGATTTAGAATAGTATTGGTAAGTCTCAAAAATGTTTTAAAATTAACATCATTTGCATAAACAAACATTTTCCATAATGCCAATAGACAGTTTTGTTGTTAATTTTGTAACATTACTTGGTGTCTAGTGTTTTTACATTTTATAACCCAAAAACATTTATTGTTTCACTTGAAAACTGTACATTTTAAGGAATAAATAAAAGATTTGCTGCTATAAATATTTAAAGTAAATTTTATGTTCATATATAACAAACCAATAGAATATTTGCTTTTACTTATGTTTATTCTAAGTTGTATCTAAATTTTTTATTTTCTATGTAATTAAACACCATTTTTAGGTAAAACTTTTTCATTTAACATTTACTGTTCAATAACTTTCTGACTTCTTGATATTATTTAAATGTTTTTCAATATTTAAACATTATATCATCATTGTGATATTACAAAATTTTATTTTTCAATTCTTTTTTATTAATATTCTAGTTTTAAACATACCAAAATCAAAATTCATTCCATTTTTTAGATTTATCTATCTGTTACCATTAAAAAAAACAATGAAAATTAAATAATTTTAATTATTTAAAAATATTAAAGACTAATGTAGGAAAAATGTAAATATTAAAATTAAGGTGTTTTTTATTCAAGCTATTTTTAAATATTTTTTTATGCAATTTGAAATAATTATTATATTAACAGCCAAATTTGAAAATTTTCATTAAAAATTATTTAATTGTGGTATTTTCCATTCATTATGAGATTCAATATAATAGAGCATTAATATAAGAAATTTTCAATTTATAATTAAATTTTTCTGTAACAGAAATAATAAAATCAAATTACTTTTATGATATAATTTCCAGATTCAAGTTGTGGATGCAAAACAAGATGATCCAACACTGATCCTGAACTAGTAAAAGTTAATATATGGCAATCCTATAGAAAATTAAAATAATAGTTTAGTTATAATCAGTAAAATTTTATTGAATTCCTCCTATATTAAATAAGCAATCATTATTATTTTTTATTAAATAAACTAATTATTTACTCTTCTCTTAATTATTATGACATTTTATTTATTTACTAATAACACTTCCATATTAATATAAAATAACAAAATTACAATTTAAAATGTAAGTGTCATATTTATTTTATTAACTTGAAAATACTTTTAAACTTGGTAATTAGTCATGAGCTGTAGAAAGTTGGGAACAACACACTTAAAAACTTTTTCAGTTTTAAACAGCTATTTATATAGCTGTTTAAAACTGAACAGCTATTATAGTTTTCAGCCCAATTTACAAGCCTAATTCAGTTAGAAGCCATTCCAAAGACAAAAGAGCTTTGTTGAGTTCTAAAGTGGAACAATTTGAATTATTCTATTTTATTTTCAATATGTATAATTTAATCCATACAATATTTTTAAATTTAAACCTTTTTATATATATTAATACATATCTTAATGAAAGTATCAATTAAGCATATAATGAGAAAGCTTACGAAAATTCACAAGAAAATATAAATCTTTATTCATCATATATAACACAACTTGATGTGTATGACAAAATGTTTATTTCTCTGTGGGAAAAAATAAAATAAAATAGAATACACTACTTTTGTTATGTTTTAGCATTTAGTTGGACTTCCTTGAAATTTATAACTGCGTCAAGTCTATGGGAAAGTGACCCCAAGAATTTTGCACTTTAACCTGAACTTATTTGAGATCAAATATTTTTACGTTTTTGCTTTAGAACAGTAAGATTTAATGGTTTTTCTCTTCTAATTATTTCTTTACATAACTGCACAAATTTCTGATCATGTTCAAATCAGGGGAAATGGCTAACCACTTCACAACCTCTATGTTGAAAAAAATTCATTGTCCAATTATGACTATGCCATTCAACTGGAACCACTCAGTTGTTACTTTCATATTATTTGGAGCTGCTAGATCATGTTGAAAGATAGTTTCTTTTTGGATTAGACTGTTGAAACTATATGATAACAGTTACGTTAAAATAGCATATAACAAACTGTATAAATCAGGTTTAATGATGGATAATTATAAATATAACTGATCATTGGCATTGAACAATCTGTTAGATCAACACAGCTTCTTATTTCTATGGTTGTCTAAAGATCTTCATTTGATCAAAAGTTATCAAACATTAATTATAAAAGTGTGTTGCAAATAGAACATACAAGAAGATTGATCTTTGTTGAAAAAGAACAAGCATTTTCAATTCTATTGTATTTTTAAAACAACTTATATGTGTAAGGATTATTTGTCTTGGATATAAATTATCATGTAAAACAACTTATTCTACAGCTGTGATGTGTTCAAAATTATATTATAATGTATAACATTAGACTAATAATAGACCCGGAGAGAATTTGCAGTAACTATAGTTTGCAAATGTATGAAACTTGGGAACATGTATGTCTTCTTTCACTGTATCAAATTTAAAACAAATAAGAAAAAGTATTTGACAAGATTTAAATCCTGAAAAAATATAATTAATTTATTGCATTTTTAAAAAAATGATTATTTTAATGTGTTTTATTTTGTGTTTCCTGCACTAAGCTATTTAATTAATTTGTTAAATTTTACTAATTTCAGATTTACATAATATGTATAAAAATAATTATTATTATGTTTTATTAAGCTATTATATTAATTTGTTAAATTGTACTAATTTCAATTTTTATGTAAAACTTTAACCCTCTTGTAACAAACTAAGATTCATACAATAAAGAATTAAATTGAATTAAAATATTTATTTCTTGTTATTTCCAATTTTTATTGTTCTATTTGCATAAATTTAAAATGATATGTATTACATGATGTGAAATAACTCATCTTCTAAAAGGGGTAACGAGTATCTGTCTTTTGTTTACAATGATTCAGATTACACTTCAATGTTCTAATTTTATGTCACAGGAAAGAACATATTCCTTTTTTTTTTTTTTTTTTAA